CCTGCCACAACAGAACTTTGATTCATACTTCATCTTCTCAGGGTATTCTTTCACTTTCCAATTTTCAATGTCACTTTTCAATTCTGACTTACTCTCTGGGTCAAACACTTCCTTGGTAGCTTCACTTCCTTGGGAAGTCTTTTCCTGACTCACCATAGGAAAAAATCTCCCCACTTAAAGTCGATCACTGTAAGTGCAGCCCACCTCTCCTGTGTCCTAGCAGCCTTGTGGGGCGGGAGATTGTTTCTTGGGCACCATTGTTGACCTAGCCCTGACCTAAGTGCTTGAGATGAGGAACAGAGTGGATTTTGGTCCTGGGAAGGTAGGTAAGGCACAGGCAGGCTTCGGCCCGGGGAGAGGACCCAGAAGGGCTGGGGCTGGCTTGCTGGCGCCCAGGATTAGATCCCTGGCACTGCCAGCTGTGGATGTAGCCTCCAGAACCCGGCAAAAAGAATAAAGTGGTTCAGTGTGAGATGAAGCTGCCAAGCTGTTGTGCAGCAGGTCGAGGAGTCGGGTTGTAGAGCCGGCAGCACTTGCTGGGGTGAAGGTAGAGGGTCTCGCTGATGGTGAGGCCCCGGAACTCAGGCAGAAATGGTGAAAGTGAACAAGTTAAGGCACGCGTTTCAATAGGAAAGGTAAACAGCCTTTTCCCAGGATGAAACAATAAGTGGGTAAGAATCCATTCAGTCCAGAAATCAATAATGTGCTCATTTCCGATTTTGGCTTTGGAGCTACGCCTGGTGGTGCTCAGAGCTCACTCCCGGCTCTGCACGGAGTCCTGGCAGGGCGCAGGGGACTGCATGACATGCTGGGGATTAAACCCTGGTCTGGCTGCATGCAAGCAAGTGCCCTCTGTACTATTGCTCCGACTTCTTTGTCTGTCATAGTAAAGAGAGCGTGAGCATTTAAGTTAAAGTCGCTGGGCATCTGCCCTTTCAAGCCTTATTCGTTTCTCTAGGCAGTGAACTGCTGCCGTATTTGAAATTAGTATTGCTGTTTCGTTGCTTTTGGGAAAGTGCTGGGTGAAAACTCACTTGTTACTACTCATTCTTGATTGCTGTCATCTCTTCAGGAGGGCATGTAAGTGGAAGTAAGGACCAGAGGCAAAGACAGAAGCAAAAGTAAAAAGTGCACAAGGTGTAAGACTTAATTCACTCCCCGTGTTGAGCCTATGGCTAATGTGTAGGTAGGAAACATTCCCAAATGAATACGGGTAAAGCCAGTCTTGATGTAAGGAAGGATTTTGTAACGCTGGCTGGGTCGTGTTAGTGTTGCAGTATTGTGCAGTATTGCTCTCCAGCAGTTCTTAATTTCAGAACTGCTTTGTTGGAGATGCCTCTAAAGTCCTCGTCAGGCTGAACCTTATATCCAAGGCACTCCGGAGGGGATGGGTGAGTCCCACAGACCAGCAGAGGAAAATCTCCAGAACCTAGTTGCTGCCATGCTCACAGCTGGTCTCTGGAGGTTCGGACTAGCTTCATCCACGAGTGAATCTGCTGGAAAACTCAGTTACGTAGGTTTTGTGACTGAAATCTCCAGGCTCTCGCAGAGTTGGGGATGAGCAACCGCCCCCCAATCTCCCTGTTCTTCCAGGAGCCTGGCGGTCACACCCACAAACTGTCTTTGGAGTCGTATAAGCTCAGTAACCAGCCGTGAATCAGAGACTCACAAGGACGTCTTGGAAGAGAGCAGGAAGCTGCACAGGTGCCCCAGACCCCAAAGCCACCGTCCAGTTAAAAATTTAACTGCAGCTGCATCACCTTATTTAACATTTGAGAATTCCTGGAGCACGCGACCGTGACATCTCATACCCTGTGCCACCGATGTACCAGGAGTAAGGCGCATTGAATAGGCTGTAAGGTAGAAAACAACCAGTATGAGTTAAAAAGAAAAAAAAATTCGCACACAAGGCCCAACCTGTAACAGCGTGTTAGTGATCTCTTGTAGGAAGGGTTTGGTGGCTCCAGGGTGAGCTATAACGATCTTAACACACTTTCTTCTAGGGAAACGTTTTTTGATCATTTTTAGAGAATTACTTATAACAAGCAATACATAATAAATTATGTAGGGCTGCTACTGGGGCGGGTTTGGGTGGTAGTTCGGAAAATTTGAAATAACGCTGGTAAGTAAGGGGTAATAGTGGTGGGATGGGTGTGTGTGAACAACTTTTTAAAAAATGCTTTGTTTATGGGCTGGAGCCAAACCACAGTGGGGACAGCATTTGCCTTGTATGTGACCCACCCAGGTTCGAACCTCAGCATCCCCATATGGTCCCCCAGTCGCCTCTGTTCCTGAGTAAGCCCCAAGCATCACTGGGTGTGACCCAAAAACCAATGTGTGTATGTAAACGAATGACTGTGTTGGCATGCAGAAAACTATTCATATGATAGTAATGTTTTTCACTGACTTCTCAGCTCGGAATCCCGTATCTGGCCGGGGAATAACCCATGGGGGGTTGGAGAAGGGCACCTCAACTCTTGTCTCCGAGCACCTTTTATCTGATTCTGTTTTGTGTGTTTGTTGTATGTTTACCACATTGTTTAAAGAGAATTATGAGAGTAACTTCAAAGGAAGTTTTAAAAGTAACTGCTAAATTCCTTTTTATTTTGGAGGGAGAGAAGATTGAAATTCATTTTGCTCCTACACTTTTTTGGGGGACAGGGGGCCCATGCCTGGCAGTATTCAGGAGTCAGGGATAACTTCCACCTCTGTGCCAGGGCTGGCCATGTGCTCGGGCCCCAAATCTGGGATATTTTTGGTCAAAACTTCATGTGTTGGCAACATTTTTCTAATTCCTATGATACCGAAATGTAAATAAATTAGATACTGATAATATTTGGATCAAAGAGAATATAAGGATCGATGCTTCTGAAATGCTAGAGACATGAAGTGCACTTTATAAACTTGACAGGGACCTCAGGAGACCCAGAATCCAAGCCGTCTAGGGTCCCCAGGAGGCGAATGAGACCAAAGTCCAGTTCGTAAGAATCCCACCGTAACGTTGAAGTGACGGTTGCAGAGAGGAGTTTCGAAGCCTTGCAGACGGATCGACCCTCAGAAGTAGCAGAGTGATACGGATTATGAAGCCCCCTAGTTAGCTCTCAGGCTGGTCAGTTTGGAGATTTGGGGCTGTATTCCTTCGCTAGCCCTTTGCTGACACCCTACTGTACTGCAGGAGCTAAGCTACTTGTAGGGCTACATATATGAATAAAACATGTATTCTCTCTGGGTCTCTTGGACTGCTGGAACAGTAATTGTAGGTGGTATGTGATGATGGCACATTATTTTTTCCTCAAAAAGAATTCGCTGCTGGGATATCAGCTAGGACAGTGGGCTGGACACTTGCCTTCCACATGGCTGGCCTGGGTTCAATCCCCAGCACCCCACAGGGTTCCCCGAGCACCACCAGGAATGATCCCTAAACTCAGAGCCAGGACTAAGCCCTGAACACTGCTGAGTGTGAGCCAAAAACTAAACAAGAAGAAAAAAAATTTTGTTTCCAAGTCAATGACATGGTTTTATGATCCACCTATTACTGTTGTTTCTAAGGAATACCGGGTATCAGGAGCTGATCATGTATCTGAACAGACTGTACCCTGGAGTAGGGAACAGATGTGAAGGCGAAGTGTCTAAGAACCGTTGTAGATAGAGCACACGCAAGACATTTGGAGTAGGTGTTCTTGGAAAGGCTCCGTTACGTAGCTCTAGGCTTCTGTTTTTGAGGGGAGGATTGGACCACGCCCAGGGATGCTCAGGGTTTGCACCTGACTCTGCTCAGGGGTCGCTCCTGGCAGGACTTGAGGGGCCATATGGGATGCCGGGGTGCCCTACCCGCTGTACTACGATTCCAGTCCCCAGACTTCTCGTGAGGCGCCCCCAAATGCGGGATGACGTGGAAGGGCGGAGAGCTAACTGGGAGCCTGTTTGAAGTGCAGCTCGGGTTCGAGATTGGCCTTCACTCCTCGCTTCTCAGTTGACCGCCGGAGCGGAGTGTGGATTTTGCCCTGCTCCCCGTGGGGGACTTCGTCTCTGTCAGAATGGGGACTGTGAAATACGGTCTTCTGCAGGGAGCGTCCCGAAGAGTCACGTGCTGTGGGTGGAGAAGGACAAGCGTCTTCAGAGAAATCATCTCCCAGTTATAGGGATAGCAGAAAAGAGGAGAAGGGAAAGGGGAAGAATGACTGGAGGAAGAAAGAATAGCCGAGAACCTCCCCAGCGTCTGGTGAGAGGTTGGGGCGCAGATTCAAGAGTCCCAAAGAGAGAGATGCGCTTCCAGAGCTCCGGGGGTTGGTGGGCAGAGCTGGGCTTCTGACGGGGACCGTTGGGCTCACGGCTTTGTACAGTAGCGTGTTGTTTTGTTCCGTCTTCCTTGAGTTCTTTTATCAGTTTGATCCTCCTGTATCCTCAGCCCCAGAACACTAACCAGTTCTGGTTGTTCCACCCATAGTGCTCACGCGTTCTTTCATTCGGCAAACATTTACCGAAGAGCCTCCTGTGCTTAGCACCCAGCAACACATGCTGGGAACGCCCGAGCGGACAAGACACACACATCCTGCTTTGACATACACAGAGAACCAGAGACGAGCCATGAAACGTAATTCCAGCGTGTGTGTGGTGACAGGAAGGAGATGATCTCGGGGCTGTGTGAGAAGTGCAGGTGGGGGCCGGAGCAGTGGTACGCTGGGTGGGGCGTTGGCCTTGCACACAGCCGACCCGGGTTTGATTCCCGGCATCCCATATGGGTCCCCCAGCACCGCCAGGAGTGACTCCTGAGTGCAGAGCCAGGACTAGCCCCTGAGCATCGCCGGGTGTGACCCAAAAAGGGAAAAAAAAGAACTGCAGGTGGGAGGGTGTTCATTGGGCTGGCAGCTGTGTGCTTTCGTTCATGAAGCAGGTAGTTAAGATGAAATACTCCAGAAAGGGTAGGATAAAAGCATTCTCGGGGGTGGCGTTACGGTTTTGTGGTTGATGTAGATAAATTAACGAGGTATCAGGAACCTCCGTGGTGCCACTTTACAATAACTTGAGCTGAGACGAGTGAGGTAGGATTTCATTTCCTCAGTGGGTTTGGAGGACGCCGAAATCAGACAATCTTTGGCTCGTCCAGTGCAAGTTGGAGTCTGACGTGTTTGTTTCCTTCTCAGGTGGAGGCCTGAATCTTGATCTATGTCCCCCATCCATCCGCTGCCTGAAAGTGCTTCATGATCACATGACCGTGGACATGGACGCTGTCCTCTCGGAGTTTGTCCGTTCTACAGGGGCAGAGCCAGGGCTGGCCCGCGATCTTCTGGAAGGTAGGGGCTGTGCAGGGGGAGAGAGAAGACTTTTCCCATCTCCGTTGACCTGGAATGGACTGTGGAGGGATCCAGTGGACGTTAGCTTACTTCTTGATCTCCTTTAGACATGATTTTTAATTTTGAGAAAATTCAATTTTTCTATTAAAAAAATCCCCGTTTTACCTCAAATTTGGGGGTTGCTTTCTTCACTGTTCACACTCAGGTTTCGGAAATGAACTTTAATATTAGCCTACTGGAGATTTCATTCTAGATCTGTAAGCTTTTCTCTTTTATAAAGATGCTGTTTGGGTTTTTGTGTTTGGGATCATCAGTGGTTTTGTTTTAGTTTTTAGAATTAATTAATTTTTATTATGAAGTAACATTGATTTACAAGAGTGGAATGTTGATATGTTTTAAGGGGACACAGTGTCACTCTACTAAGTTGCCCCAGTGGCACCCTGCTTCAGCCCCACCCCTCCCCCATCTTGATAAATTGAATTCTGTGGTCCAAGTCCATGGGCTTGTTTTAATTAGACATTATGTGTTTCCTGCTAAGAGTCTTGGGGGAGGGGCCGGAGAGATAGCACAGCAGTAGGGCGTTTGCCTTGCGTGCAGCCAGCCTGGCCGAGCCAGGTTCAAGGTTCGATTCCTCCGCCCTTCTCGGAGAGCCTGACAAGCTACCAAGGGTATCTCGCCCGCACGGCAGAGCCTGGCAAGCTCCCCGTGACGTATTCGATATGCCAGACACAGTAACAACAAGTCTCACGATGGAGACGTTACTGGGCCTGCTCGAGAAAATCGATGAACAACGGGAGGACAGTGCTTGACAGTGTGTGTTCCCTGCTTTGTGGTCTGGTTTCTTTATAGTTTGAGTGGGTATGTCTATGTTGAGTAAACTTAATGGCTTTATTTTGCTCCCATTTTTCTTTATTTCTATTTATACATAAGTATGAATGTCCTGGGGTTTGTCTTTATTTGTTTGCTTTGTTTTCAGATCACACCAAGTGCTTTCAGGGGCCACCTCCAGCGTGTGGTACTCAGGGATTGCTACTAACAGTGCTGAGGGAATTTTGTGTGCTCAGGGATCATTCCTAGCAGTGCTCAAGGGATTGAATCTGGGCCTCATGCCCATTAACTGTCTCTACAGCCCCCAAATGTTCTAGATTTGAGTTTCTTAAGGATTGAAATTATATCCAAAGAATTTTTTTCTTTGGATCATTTAGGGTTCTCTCCTGGTGATGCCCAGGGGACCATATAGGGTGCTGGGGAATGAGGGTTGACCACATATATGCAAGTTAAGCACTCTGCCCACTGTGCTATCTATCCACTTTTTATTTATTTATTTATTTATTTATTTTTGGGTCACACCTGGCGATGCACAGGGGTTCCTGGCGGTACTCGGGGGACCATATGGGATGCTGGGGATTGACCTCGGGTCGGCCGTGTGCAAGGCAAACGCCCTGCCCGCTGTGCTATCGCTCCAGCCCTCTATCCACTTTTTAAATGTGAGTTTTGCACTTCTTAATATGAGACTCAGTAGTACTTGAACTAGGCAGTGCGGGTGCAGATCTAGACGGCTCTTGGCAGTCACATTACAGATGAATGCTTGCAGGACTTGAACATGTACCCGTGTATAGACACATACTTGTACTGACATGAAAGAAAGCGTTAGGCACTTCGAAAAGATGCAAGAGAAGGCTGACCTAGTGCAGAAGGACCTTCGTGCTGATGGACGTGAAGAGTGCGGGGAACCTTGAGAAAGCAGAAGCAGGTGTCTCTGTAGAAAACGTTGGCTTACAGCTGGTCTAAGGGTCAGAGATTGTGTGACACACCGGAGAAGCTGTCGTGAGGTAGAAGAGGGGACGGGGCCTAGCAAGTGGACTCTGCACAGAATAGGGGCCCTTCTGTGTCATTACATTTCAAGTGGTGGTCACTGGAAAAGTAGTGAAAGATGCTAATCAGGGAAGTGACATAGTAAAATTTGGGTTCTTAGTGTTGAAGGTTGTGGCATAATGAATGGCCAGAGAAGTGGTCAAATCAGCGAAGAATGCTGTTAATTTAGTAGGCGAGAGAGATGGTACAGGGCTTAAGGCACCTGTCTTGCATGCTGCCAACCCCAGTTGCATCCCTGACCCTGCCAGGCGTGACGACTGGGCATCGTCCAGGAACCCCTGAACACTACCAGATGTGGCCCCCAAGTAATATTGCTAAGTTTAAGTCAGGGTCGAGATTGTGGCTTAGTGGTAGAGCTCTTGCCTTGTATGTGTGAAGCCTGGATTTGATCCCCAACACTGCAGGGAGGAGAACGAAAAAAGGAAAATTGCCAGCTTGAAATGAGATGATGATGTGGACTATAGGCAGGTAGGATTGGCGTAATCGGACAGGGGAGGGCACTTGTTGTCTTGCACGAAGCTGACCTGACCCCCAGCACCCCATGTGGTCCTCGGAGCTCATCAGCGTGATTCTTGAACGCAGAGCCAGGTGTAAGCCCTGAGCATCGCCGGATGTAGCCCCAAAACAAAAGAGGTGGATAAAGTTAAAATAGAATTTACAAGGGAAGTCAGAGGACCTGCTCCTGCTCTTCTAGCTTCTCTCTGTATCTCGCTAGGGTGCTTTAAAAGTTAACCCTGATTTCCAAGAATAGACTGAGTAGATTAGGGTCCCTCTCAAAAGACAGGGACCGTGTATTATCCCTGATTGGGGTGGAGGCAATAAAAAGGGACCAGGTTTGAGGTATGTTTCGGGTAAAGACTCGCTGCTGAGAGAAGAGGAGGAGCAGGATCTGGGATGTGGAGAAGAGAGTGAAGTCACGGGGGGTGGGGGGTTCACTTAGGTTTCGGACCTGGAAGGATGGGGAGGACCGGCTGGCTTGGAACAGGGGAAAGAAGCTGTTAGGGACAAAAGATGGTGACGATGCAGTTTGGGTGGTCAGAAACCCGGTTGTAAGGAGCGCAGCAGACGATTGAAAACACAGATGCACAGTGCTCAGGGCACACACCACGCGTTCATGTTTCATCGGGCCTCCCCTCTTCGGTGACATGGACTGTCTTTGGAACAGACCGAAATCCCTGCCCTTGGCATTCTGTTGGGAAAGACAGTTGATAAGTGATAACTATAGTAGCTTCAGTGCGTTTATGAAGTGTGTAAGTACTGTGAGACCAGAGAGGGGGATTGGTGAGGGAGACGGCAGTTTTCATGCTTGGCAGTACTTGGGACCATCTGGGGTGTCGGGGGTGTGCAGGGTGAGCACCCTGCCCACTGTACTATCGCTCAGGAACAGGTTGTGGATTTTTTTTCTTTGTTTCTGTTTGGGTTTTGTTTTGGGGGATGGGGACAGTTGGGCCCCAGCCACCAGCGCTCAGGGGTTTCTCTCTGCACTAAAGGTTCCCTCCTGGTGGGGCTCAGGGGACCATGTGGGGTACCAAGTATCGAATATGGCTCAGCCACAAGCAAGGCAAAAGCCCTTCCTACTACCTGCTATCATTCCAGCCCAGGTTGTGACTTCTGGAGAACCAGGACATATGTAGAGTGTCACAGCGGGCTGGAGAGATGCTATCGGTGTTAAGACTCTTACCTTGCGTTTTGTCCAGCCCCAGTTCAGCCCTGGCACCACACGGGGTCTCCAGAGCACCACCTAGAGGCCTTTGAGCACAGAGCCTGGAGTGCCTGAGTACTGCCAGGTGTAGCCCCAGTCCCTCCTGTGAGGGACCGAGAGCTAACTCAAAAGGCTGTGTACGCGCCCGGGTCAGTCCCTAACCCTGCATGGGACCCTTAGCATAGCCGCCGTGGCCTCCAAAGCAAAGCAGAACAGAAGCACCTCAGCCTTTCGGGCAGTGGGAATACTTAAGTCTTTGCCGGCCCAGGGACTACAGAGGTGCCAGTGTGAGCTGAAGCAGTGAACAAAGGGAGGCGAAGTAAATCGTTGAGAAAAAAGCCTTCAGCTGTGGTCTGATACTAGTAGTATTGAACTTGTGGAAGGAAAAACATGAGAGCAGCAACAGGAAGTACACAGAAAATGCCCCATCTGTGTGTTTCCGAAAAGGCACTTAGGGACCTGGAGAGTTACTCCGTGCATAGGGCGCTTGCCTCTCTGGTCCCTGTGTGGACTGCGGCGGCCTCAGGCAGGTCCCCGTCCTGCTGTCATTTGGTTCCCTTGGTCTGAGCCACGAGGTCATGGGTTCGAGAGCCCCAGGCCCTTTCCCTGAAGGGAGACCGTTTTCGTGCTCCTGGGGCATGCTTGGGAAATAGACCAGTAGACCGGTGCACTGCTGCTTCCAGTCACAGTAGGAGGTAAGGAGGAAGGGTCAGGGCACGGCTCGGCGGTTCCTCGAACCCTTGCCGAGCGTGGAGGTGCGCGGTGACCGCGCTCCGCCTTCGGCTGCAGCTGCACACTCAGCCCTCTGCCTCTGCTTCGCCCCTCCAGGGAAGAACTGGGACGTGAGCGCCGCCTTCAGTGATTTTCAGCAGCTCCGTCAGGTCCACGCCGGGAACCTGCCCCTGCCTTTTAGTGAGGGCAGTGGGGGTGCCAGGACCCCTGGTAAGGGGTTTCCCGAGAGAGAGCCTGCCGTGCGCCCTCCCCGGCCCACCCTCCAGCGACAGGATGACATCGTTCAAGGTACCGGGGGCATTTGGGGGACGGCTGAAGACGATCTTAGGGGTGCCACATTCCTGGGTCTGCGTCCTGGGGGCTGTGTGTTTGTGGAGCGGGGAGATGTTCTGAGAGGTCGTGTATGTACTGAGGTAGGGTTCGCAATGGGGTGAGCTGTACGACTCCCCAGGATCTGTCAGAAATCCGAAATGCACGTGTGTCCGGGACTGGGCGCCTGAGCCGTGGGCACAGGCCCCGGGCTTGGTCTAGGCACCGGCGGGCTCCGAGCGCTGCTGCTTTGGCCCAGGAAGCCCGAGGGCAGACTTCTCCGTCCCTTTGGGGGGCCACTGAGCACCACCAGTGTGGCCAAAAAAAAAAGAGACTTAGTATTTGTATGTGGAATAGTGGTTACATAAAGTGTAATCATTCATGTTGCGGAGTACTTTGTAACCATTAGAAAGAATCAGAACATGAAGAGAAAGACACAGTATAGTGTATTTCGTGTCCTCCTATTTACCGTATTAAAATATTAATTGTTGTACATATATATATATATAAAAAATTCTAGAAAAATACTAAGCTTGCCTCTGAAAACAGGATCAGAAACTTTGAATAAAAGGGACATTCCTCTGTAATATTTAATACTTTCTGGTATTATTTTGATTTTATTGTTGCTTTGTTTTTGGGGCTACATCTGGCTCTGCTCAGGGCTTACTCCTGGTTCTGTGCTCAGGGATCACTGCTGGTGGGGTTCTGGGAACCGTGTGAGGTGCCAGGGATCAAACCTGCGTTGGCCCGGGCAAGGCAAGCACCTTACCCGCTATACTCTCTCCAGCCCCTGTTTTGTTTTTTTTTCACCATGAGCCCATGGTACTTTATCTATAATTTTAAAACGCTTTAGGGGCCAGAGAGACGGTATGTAAACTGGGGCTTGCCTTGCTGCCGCCTTGGCCACGGCCCTCACTCGAATCCCATCTCTGCATATGAGCCTGAGCATCCTGCCGTGTGGGAACACGTGTCATGAGGCGGCAGGCAGGGCCAGGGGCGAACCTGGCGGCACTGCAGGGAGGCTGACACTGGTGGTGCGATCGGGGCTGGAGGATTAGGCCTGAAACTTTTCCGTGAATAACTTCGTAAATCATGGTGCCCTCGTTAACTTTTTTATTGAAAGAGAATATGATGTTCACAGATAGCATCACAGGGTTCAAGCATGTAGCACGGTGATAGAGAGCACATGCTTTTCACGTAGATAATCCTGTGTTCAATCCCTGCCACCAGAAACCAGAAAATAAGGGGGGTGGGGTGTGTGTGTGTGTGTGTGTGTTTATGTTTATGTATATCATCACTATAAAGTAATTTGAGACAGCTTGACGGACACTGGTTTGAGAACTACCTTTTCTCATTTTGGATGATCTTGACGTGGTGGAGGGCATGCAGATGAATCACAGTACCCTGTTGAACAAATCATGATCATGTGGATTGCCACTAGGAAGTTACAAGTGGCGCATGTCCTGAACAGATGCAGTGACTGGGGGCACTGTCCGCATTGCTGTCTTCATCTGTAGCAGGAATTAACTATACCTATACATCGCTGATAAACGCGAATACCATGAAAAATGCTAGTAAATAATGTAGAAAGAAATATGATTGCAAAAAAGATTCTCTTGAATATTTAAGACTTGTCCTGTGTTTTCTCTTATGGAAATTTCTTTCTGCATTCACCAAAACTGAAAAGTATTGAAGAACTAATTTGACTGAACCGAAACCCCTTTCTGTAAAATCCTTTGTCCTCCTAGTGAGCAGGTCCCATGAATGGGCCCCTGCGGGGGGGGGGAGGGATGAGGGGACATTGTCCAAGAAGGGCAGAAGGTGGCGTGTGTGCCTGTCATGTGTCAGTGCCATGTCTGCAGGACCTCCGCTGCCTCCGCTCTCTTATGTTTGAGAAAGAAGCTTGTGAGCTCTGGAACCACTGAGGCCAGAGCGTATCGTGCTGGGCACCCTCAGGGCAAACGGTCGCTGTGGGAGTTCCCAGATGGGCCGTGCATGTTCTCAGTGACTCCATTTCTCATTGCAGAGAAACGCCTGTCTAGGGGTATCTCCCACGCCAGCTCCAGCATCATCTCCCTGGCCCGCTCCCATGTCTCCTCCAATGGTGGGGGTGGGGGGAGCAGTGAGCACCCCCTGGAAATGCCCATCTGTGCCTTCCAGCTCCCAGACCTCACCCTGTACCCCGACGACTTCCGCAGCTTCATCGAGAGAGACCTCATTGAACAGTCGATGCTCGTGGCCTTGGAGCAGGCAGGTCCGTGAGTGCGTCCGCTTGCCGTGCTGCCGGGGCTTCTCCCAGGAGAGGCGACTGGCGCGAGCGCCCCCCGTCGGGCTCAGAGTTAGCAGCTGGCCAGGGCAGAGCGCGGCAGTCTGGTTGCTGCTGCTTCACGCGGAGAGTGAGCCGGTTAGAGCAGGTGACAGACGCTCTCCCCCGGAGATGTCTGCTTTGCAGGGAAACCAGAAATGTGGCGGGAGTGGGAATCGGTACCCGAAAACCAGCCCAGAGAAATCGTACAGATCCACTTTGTGTTCCTCTGGAGTGCTTTTGAAAGCAGCGGACCAACACTCCGAAGGAGGCTTAGTGGAAAGTCATCCGAAAGTCAGGCCCGCTTACCTGAACCTTTCTCGGAAGATTTCACTTTCGCGTTGGGTCGATCCTAAATGATTGCTCAAGTGAATGAAGTTGGAGCCAGCGCAATTGTAGAGCGGGTCCGGCCGACCCTGGTTTGCTTCCTGAAACCCTAGATGGTCCCTCAAGCACCTCTAGGAGTGATTTCTGATTTCTGAGTGCAGAGCCAGGAGTAACTTCTGATCCCGGCCAGGCGGGACCAAGACAAAAGGAAGGCAAGCAAAGAGCAGTGGGCGGTGTTCCACAAAAGCTTTTCTCTCCTGTTGCCGTAGGCCGCTTGAACTGGTGGGTGAGCATGGACCCCACTTGTCAGAGGCTGCTCCCTTTGGCAACGACTGGAGACGGGAACTGCCTCCTGCATGCAGCCTCCCTTGGTAAGTGTGCATGGCCCTCCGTTCCCGTGGGAGGTAGTGTTAGCGGGGCAGGGGAGAGCTCACGCTCTGAGCACCATTTCAGGAGTAACCCCAGAGCACTCCTAGCTGTGGCCCCGAAACAGAGACAAAACGGACTCCCAAAAAGGAGTAAAGGCAGCATTAAAGTTAAATCTGACGTGCAGATTTTGATCCTGCCAACAAAATCTCAAGTTCAGAACTGGAGAGCTAGTACAGAAGAGAAGGTATTTGCTGGGCCCCACGTATGGTCCTCAGAGCCCTGCCGGGGGGAGCACAGAACCAAGAGTAAGTCCTGAACGCCACGAGGGGTGGCCCAAAGTAAATGAAAAATAATGACTCAGTGCGCGAGAGAAGACAATGAATATATGTCAGTGCAAGTGTCCGTCTTGACCCACCAGTCCACAGGTCGCTAGGGTGGGTCCTGGGCTCCAGAGCCAGCAGCAGGGGCTTCCCTGGTCCTCAGCACCTGGGCAGAGGCTGCAGTGCTCTGGCCGAGTCTCGAGAAGTCATGGCTAAGAGCGGGAGCAGGGGCCAGGGCGTGTCTCTGTGTGTACATGCCAGCCCTGCCTGGGAGTTCTGCATTCCTGGCCTGCTCACTGCTGTCTGGGAGGTCCCACGTGAGTCTGAACAGGTTTAGGGTCCAGCGTGGACTTCCCTGAACACCCTCTTCTCGCTCTTGGCTACCATCTGTGACTGGGCTTAACGCACACGCTGTGCTGTAGCGTTGGTACCTGGTGAGGCTTGGCTTAGCCCTGCACAGCCTGGCAAGCTCCCCGTGGCGTATTCAGTATGCCAAACACAGTAACAGGTCTCACAATGGAGACGTTACTGGTGCCCGCTCAAGCAACTAGATGAACAACGTGAGGACAGGGCTACAGTGCTGCCTGTTGCTCAGTGGATTAAAAGACTCATTTTCATGAGACCTTTGTGGGGCTTGTTCACCCGTAGCAGGAGGCCTGGTGGTTCGGCGTCTTCAGACTTCAGCCCCGTGAGCAGGCCTGGCTTGCCCGCCTGCCTGGTGTAGCTTGTCCAAATCGACGAGCGGCGCCTGTGCGGTGAGATCTGGCAGGTTCCTTGTCACCTGAGCAGGGCTGTTCTTTTCCATCAGGTGCGTCTCCCTCCCTCGGGGACCTTTGTGCGCCCCGGCGTCAGCCTGAGCCCTTCAGGCGGCCTTGTGTCACTCCGTGCACGGAGCCGAGTTGTGCGGGGCCTCACAGCTGTGTCCTTCTGCAGGCATGTGGGGCTTCCACGATCGGGACCTGATCCTGCGGAAGGCGCTGCACTCGCTCATGGAGAAGGGCTCGGAGAAGGAGGCGCTGAGGCGGCGCTGGAGGTGGCAGCAGACGCAGCAGAACAAAGAGGTGAAGGGCGGCGGGGAGGTTGGGCATCGTCCTGGGACGCAGGGCAGCCGCACCTGCCCGCACCTGTGGGTGTGTCCCGTGAGTGACCGGCTTGTCTGCTTCCAGTGTGGCCGGATCTCCGTTGAAGGACACAAGAGAGGAAGTGCTTGAATATCCTGGGGGGTCACTTTTGTGTTGGTTCGGGTCTTGTGGCCACACCTCGTGGAGTTGGGGTTGCTCCTGGGCTGGGTACGGGTGGCCGGGAGGACGTGGTCACTTCTAGTTGTGCGCAGGGGTCAGCCCTGCTCCCTTACGTGCCAGGCCTGTCGGTCCTGGTAGCACCTCCCTGTCCCTGTACATTCGCTTTTCATACTCCTTTTGTTCACTGAAAAAATGTTTAAACAGGGGTGACAGGCAGTTCCAGTGAATAGGAGGCGTGGCTTTCACCTGAAACCGGGTTCCATCCCCAGTACCGCATAGGGTCCCCCGAGCCATGCCAGGTGTTAGCTCTGAGCACTGCCAGGTGTGACACTGCCACCGTCCCCCACCCCCAAATAGCGTTTATTGGAACATAGTTTTGCCTGTTCTTTGCAGGTCCGTAAGAACAGATGTTTGTATTATGGGAAACCTGAGAGGGTCACTGGCCTTCGAGGGTCGCTCGTCCAGCCCACCTAATGATCACACCAGACACTCAGAGGAAGATCCTGGGCCGCCTCCCCGCCTCCTCCCCCGACTCCGCTTGTCTTCTCTGTTTATCTCCTGCCCTTCCTGTGTGTCTATTTTTGTATGCTCATGGCAGGGTATATTCTGGTACTGACTGGATTATGTCAGGGTTTCTTAACTGTTTCCCGACCTTGTTTCCTTCCTATGGTTCCGCCTCCCCGTGTGACCTTGGGACCCCTTAGTTTTGTGCCGTGATCCCTGCCCCCAGGTACATGTTTTCACCTGTGGCCCTCTTGAAATGTCCTTGGGTCCACAGAGGCCTACAAGGCCCTCGGTGGGACATGCTGGAATGTGGAACTATCTCTTCAGAAGATTTCCTTTTCTTTTCCATCTTCTTAATTTTCTCCATTTATTGCTCTTTCCAGACTGGCCGTAATGTAGAAATAAGTTCAGAACATAATTTAGAATTTTAAGTTCTGAAGACTTGAAATATACAAGTAGAATATGTCTTCGTTTTCTTCTCAAAACCAAAGAACCTGATTGTCAGATCCATTCAGGTCACACTCCTATTTGCCTGGTTGGCCTGGGAAGGTCACTGAGGAATTGCCCAGAGAGGTCTCCCGGAACAGTGTCCCAGTACCACCAGGTGCCTGACTCCTGGTGGAACTGGGTTCCACCGAGTGAAGGATCGGTTTACTGAGCTAGAGGAGGCTAGAGTTTCCCTTACCCATTAAAATCGTACCTTCCCTAAGCCATAGACTTGACCACTCCAGAGACAAGATTAGACCACGCAAGACACAGCATGTGCACTGTGACATAGACGTAAGGCAAGTGTGAGAATAGGCTTCCCAGTTCCAGCTGTTACAGTTGGGTTAGAGTTCGGTGTTCTTTAGCTCAGAGAGGCAGAGATACTCAGGCTCTCTTCGTGATCAGCTAACTGTTCCGTGCCAGACCCTGTGGATAGCCTGGGTAGGAGTAGCGGCTGGTCAGGAGAGGGGTGTTCTTTTCTGGTACTCAGCTCATGATTAGTTCCCTTTTGGAAATGGGGCCTTGATCGTTGTTTCAGCACTGACCATTCAGCACTGACCAGCACAGAACTGTTCCACCTGGGCATAGAGAGTGAGCGAGGGCACTGACGGACTCTGGGACTTGGGCCAATGGCAAGCAATGTATTAGGCCTTGTCTTCCGGATGGCCTGTGAACCCTGCAGGCTAGGTGGGCACACCATCTAGTGGCTGTTTGTAGAAAAACAGGAAACAAATCCATGACCTGATGTGTCACTAGGGTACCTCCACGTCTGAATTGTATGCTGTTATTTTTATTTCTCTGCTGCAAGTTTTGTGATGGGGACTTGTCAGTGGTTGACACATGCCTTGCCTGTTTGACACCTCACTGCTGGCCGTACCCTATCATTACAAAAAATACTCTTGAGATGACATTTTATGAACTGAAAATAAAGTGCCTCTTTAGTTCCCCTTAAATATGTTCTTAATGCCCCTCCCGTTTCCACTGTGATTCTCTATTATCAGTGTGGATTTAAGCTCTGATACTCGTTTCGCCCTGAGGCAGGAGACCTGTGTTCTGGCACCGTATTCTGAAGCCAGTAGATTGTGGAATGCTTGTGTCGCCTTTCCCTCTTAGTGAAAACGTAGTGGCCCAGAGAGATAGGACAGTGGTGAGAACGCTTGCCTTGCAAATGACGGACCCAGCCCAATCTTCACCATCCTACATGGTCCCCGGAACCTACCCGGAGTGATCCCTAAGCACAGATCCAGGAGTCCTGAGCACTGCTGGTTGTGGTTCCAAAACCAAATAGAACAATAACAGAAACTGGTAGTTTCACTCAGTGTTGTTTATTGACTCTCTTCACGGTAGTAGTGGGCGTATTTCCAAAACAAACATTGCACTGGCCTTAGCTGCTGCAGTAGGTGTAGCCCAGTGTAGAGCACTTGGTTTTGCATGTGTGAGAACCTGGGTTCAGTCCTCCGACCCATGTGTGTGCACACGGGCACACACATGACTGCAGCAGAGCACCGGAGCATGGGTGGAGCATGGGTGGGAATGGTCATCACACTGGGACGTGGAAGAAAGGCTTGGAGAGGGGTCTTGCGACTCTCGGAGTTGAGAGTCACCGGGTAGATGGGAGGACGATTCCCCAGTCTCAACAGAAGCTGAGTTCAAACAGCAAGGAACTCCATTCCAGGGACCCCAGCGAATGGGGTCAGGTTTTGCATGTGTGAGAACCTGGGTTCAGTCAGAGCGGGCCAGGTGAGCGCTCAGTGAGCTACCTGAGGAATCTGGACACCATCTGAATAGCCTGAGGCACCCACGTGCAAAGCTTGTACCCCACCATTTGAGAACCCTCTGACCCGCAGTGATGGTCCTTTTGAAAAACGTGTAACAGGGCTCAAATGTTTGGGTTGAATTTTAGAAATACTTGGGGAGGATTTGATCACCATTGCCCCATGGGGTCCTCCAAACCCCACCAGGAGCTACCCCTGAACACTGTTGAATGAAGCCCCAAAACAAAATAAATAAATAAAATGGACCATAAGAGTGTGTGATCGAAAGTAGTAAAAACCAGTTAGGGAGCTGTTGCTATTTTTGCTTATTTGGGGCCTGCTTTGCAGTGCTGCGGTCACCTGGGAACACCCCACAGGATTCAGGAGGTGGGGGCTGAAACCCGGTTCACGGAGCAGTGCTCTGGCACTCTCTCTGGCCCTGGGGTGCTTCATATTTAATAACTGCTGATCCAAGGGACTCAGATATGGGCCTATGAAAGGAGAACCGAGGTACCTCCCTGGTTTGTTGAAACGGGTATTTGGGTGATAGTGGTGTCCTTTGCTAGGTAGAACTGGAGGAAGAAGAGTGGGTTTGGACAAGGTGGAAAGTGAATTCCGACTGGGGTTGGAGCCAGGCAGCAGGCGCCAGGCCCCTCTTGTGAGCAAGCTCTGACTCTGTAACGAAGACAAGGGAGAAGGATGTCAGAAAGAGACCCCGGAGGGCATGTCAGCACCACTGCAGGGCTTCCTGGAGACTCCCGCCCAGGCAGCTACACAGCCTCAGGCCCTGGCTCTGGACTTTGACCCAGTTGGCTCAGGATTTCTAGGAATGACCTACCGAGCGATGTTTGGGAGGCCAAAAAAAGGGAAAGAAAGGGAGAAGAGATTTGACTTGGTCATACAGATTGTTAGCCGGGTACACTGAGAGCAGGGAGGGGGGCCCTGTGGCCGTGCCCTCTGGTCTGGCTTCGTAGCCAAGCTTGGCACTCTCCTGTCCACTCTCTTCCAGTCAGGACTGGTGTACACAGAGGACGAGTGGCAGAAAGAATGGAATGAACTGACCAAGCTCGCCTCGAGCGAGCCCCGGATGCACCTCGGGACCAACGGAGCCAGCTGTTCCGGGTAAGTGCGCCGCAGTGGAGGACCCCGGAACCCCCTTTCCTGAGCCTCCCTGTTTGGGGTGGGGCTGGGAGAGGAGAAAGGGGTCCTGGCAAGGCACCACGGGGCTAGCAGCAGGGAGTGTTCTGGAACTCTAGGTGCTTCAATGCCACTGGAATCTAGAGGACATGATGCAGAACGAGAGTTGGGCTGGGCAATCCGGATTTCTGTGTCATTAAAGGTTTCTCTCAGACATTCGCCTTGTATGTGACCGACCTTGGTTTGATCCCAAAAATATAAAAGAAGCAGCAGCATGCGAAGAAATAATAATTATATTAACGTGGGGGGTTGCAGAGGTTTGACAGGTACTGACATCGGCCCATGGATTGTCCCCACATCCAGGCCAGGGACCTTCTCCCCCTGGGCCCACTGACCAGAGTCGAGGTTGGGGTGAGCACCAGAAACACGTAGAGAAGCGGGCTCCCGGACCAGCCCTCTGGGGACCCATCGTGGCCCCGCAGCACAGGTTCCGGGTCCTGCACCTTGACCCTGGCTGACATCTCTGTTGGCGGTGCTCGGGTAAAGGCCCAGCCAGGGGACAAGGTGAGATGTCTCCACACGGACAGTGAGTTAGGAAGCAGGGATGAGTGGCAAATGACCTCGAGAGGTTTCTGTGTTCCTGCCCCCGGCCCGCTGCAAGGCAGTGTGGCAGACCCCTGCTGTAGGGTCTGTCTCTGCATCCTGCTGAAGGATACTCTTCGGGCACCTTAGATACTTTTATTTTTTTTTAAGATACTTTTTGAAATAAAGCAATTTCTTGGGGAAATTTTTAAAAAGGTAGACGTCTGGAAACCCCGGGACAGATGATCCAAATTCTTCAAGATATTGGGAGGAACATTTAAAAAGGAAACCTACAATTTTGAAGACTTGAGTTAGGCTTGGTACACAAAAGCATTAACTCTGAAAGATCTATGCCATCTGTGTTCACAGCAATGCTAAGTACACGTATACTAGCCAAGGTCTTGGAAACATCCCAGATGTCTAATGGCAGATGGGTGGATCAGGAAATTGTGGTGTATATGGGGCTGGAGTGATAGCACAGCGGGTAGGGCGTTTGCCTTGCACGCGGCCCGACCCGGGTTCGATCCCCAGCATTCCATATGGTCCCCTGAGCACGGCCAGGAGTAGTTCCTGAGTGCATGAACCAGGAATAACCCCTGAGCATTGCCGGGTGTGACCCAAAAAGCAAAAAAAAAAAAAGGAAAAGGAAAAAAAAAACCTGTGGTGTATATACACAATAGAATGCTGCTAAGTTTTGAGAAAAAGTGAAATTTACCTTTTGTCACCATGGGGATGGAACTGGGACGTGCCACGTTAAATAAGTCAGAAGGAGAAGGAGAAATATGGGATGACCATCTGCACTAAGAAAGGAAAAACGGGAGTAGACGGTATCTAATGTCCAGACCTTGGACATCAGGCTTGGGCTTGGACCACAGAGCTGAGGTGACCAAGTTGGGGTGGGAGGAGGCTTTGAGGGGACAGTGGAGGGGCCTGGAAGTAAATATGTGTAAGGACAGTGGTGGAGTGTCTCGGGCCCTGGTGATGCTGAAGGAGCAGCGTAGGTGTCAGTACTTTTGTAAGTGCATCACCTCAACTGTAATCTTCTTAAGTTAAAAAAAAAAGACAATAATAAAGACTGACTTAAGGACTAGCGCACCTGATGGCCCTTGGTGGGCATGCGTGGCCTCTGGGCATCGTTCCAGGCACCACGTGGATTCCTAAGCACTGCTGCTCCTCTGTCCCCACCCCCCACCCCCATTGGAAGCCCCCTCAAAATGAGATGAATAATTTCCCCCTCAAATAAAATGAAATTGAAATAAATATCCCCAAGGACTAACTTGACGGTGACAGAAGATGTTTGGGGAAATGTGAACAATTTCTACATGCCTGATTAGTGTTATATTTTGAAAGTGATATTAATGGTATTTTGCTTTTAAAAGGAGTTCTTTTTTTTCTTAGAACTAGAGACATATGGTTGAAATGATATTTAGGATTTGCTTCAAAATTACCTACTAGGGTGGAAGTGGGGTTGAGAGAATAGGTCTAGGGGCTGGAATGACAGCACAGCCAGTAGGAGGGCAGTTGCCGCCCCAGGGTTAGTCACCAGCGGCCCATATGGTCCTCCACACCCTACCACAAGGAGGCCCTGAGCATCTCCAGGTGTGGCCCTCAAAACAGAACTTAACAGAGCTCTGGTTAGCCATTAAACTGATGGACCACATGTTACACTGAATAAAGCAGGATGATAGATTGCTGAACGTTGAGTCTGATTTTCTAGTTTGAATGTGTTTTAAAATTCGAAAATTTCCCAAGAAAATATTTAAAATTAAAGCCAGCCCAGACTTTATTGTGCATAAGGCTGATCAATGCGGGCTCAGGCGAGTGGGTGAGCAGTGAATGGACTCAGGATCCCAGCAGGCTGTGCCGTAGGCCTCGCCCTTGGGAAGCTGCCCTAAGAGTGGCAACGCAGGAATGCAGAAGAGGAATTTCAGCCTTTTTTTTCCTGTTTTAAGAATTGTGGGGGGCCTTGGGGACCTACACCAGGTGGTGCTCAGGGTTAACTCCTGGCAGGCTCAGGAGATCCTTGTGGGGTGCTGGGGCTAAAGCCCAGGTCAGCTGCATGCAAGGCAAGTGCCTCACCTGCTAGACTTTCGCTCTGCCCTCCTTTCTTTTGTGGGGAGGAAACTTGGGGGTACACCCGAGCTTGTGCTCAGGGGACATTTGCGGTGCTGAGATTCGAACCTGGGCTGGAACTACAGCCACCCACCAGCAAGCGCCTCGGCCTTGGCTCTTTCCCTCCGGTTCCCCTTATTTCCTTGTTCTCTGGTAGCACCTGGAGGGTAGTGTTACAGGCAGGTGGTTGTGGGGGGCCAGACTGCAGGGCTGTAGATCGAGTCACCGTGAATCGGGGGAGGACAGGAAGGTGAGTGGCTCCCCTCGCGTTCCTCGCATGCTGCTGTCTCTGGAGCCTTGGGCTCTGTCTGGGAGTGGAAGAGCTCGGCCGAGAGGTGTGCGCTGTGGTCTCCCTGGGTTGCTGGCCTCCTGGTCTCTCGTGTCTTACCGCTCCTCCTGCCCGCTGCAGGCTGGAGAGTTCCGAGGAGCCCGTGTACGAGAGCCTGGAAGAGTTCCACGTCTTCGTCCTCGCCCACGTGCTCCGGAGGCCCATCGTGGTGGTGGCTGACACGATGCTGAGGGACTCGGGCGGAGAAGGTGAGTCCGTCCATCCTCGGCCACCCTGAGCAGAGTGCTGGGAAGAAGACGAGGAAGGGGGGTCCGTGGGGGAAGAGGAGGCCCAGAACGGAGCAGAACCCTCCAGAGTCCACACAGAGCAGCCAGGATAACTGCTAAAGCTTCTTAGTGACGAATGAATTAGTCAAATGGCCAGGCGAGAGCTCTGCAGGCAAGGTGCTTGCCTTGTCCATGGCCAGCCTGGCCATTGCCCCATTCAGTTCCCTGAGCCCCACCACGAGTGAGTCCTGAGCTCTGCTGGGTGTGGCCCCAAAGCAAACACAAAAGTGAGAATCACCATCAACGGGAGTGAGGTGCACAGGTGGGAAACAGGACGCTTGATGAGCCGGAACGTAGGCTGAGCTGTCCTCGTGCCTTCCAACAGCCTTCGCCCCCATTCCCTTTGGGGGTATCTACCTGCCTTTGGAGGTCCCGGCCAGCCAGTGTCACCGCTCCCCGTTGGTGCTCGCCTACGATCAAGCCCACTTCTCGGCGCTTGTGTCCATGGAGCGGAAGGAGAACACCAAGGACCAAGGTGCCGAGCTCCCTGCCGTGTCCAGCTGCGCGGGTCTGCTTTAATCCCAGGGGGAGCGCATGCAGAGCAGGACCGAGCACCCGGCCACACAGACGGTGCCGGGGTGTGGTTCGTTGCCTTCACGACAGACCGGAGGGTTTGGTTTTGTTGCGTATTGGCGGGAAGAGCCTCCTCTAGGCTCTGCTCCCTGAGCCCTCGGCTTGCGGATGAAGGCGGTAAAACCTTCCAGAGCACGCCTGCTGCATTTGTGCTAACAGTGCTGCAGTTCCCATATCCGTGTTGACTGGCAGAAGCGTCCCGGGTGTCAGTGGGCTGGCTGATACGGAGGTCTGAAGGTCGGGGGCCTGAGCCGTCTTCTGGGGAAGAAGGAAAACCCGTGGGGTAGTTTCAGCGGGGGGTCATGGGTGTGTAAGAACTGAGAAGCATTGTCGGGACCCGTGGCAGGATTCAGGGGTTCAGCTCCCTTTAGCAGGGTCAGTCTGTGTCCAGTCGCTTCCTGTCGCCTCATGAGGACCTTGACGCTGTGTCTTTCCTCCACAGCTGTGATCCCACTGACTGATTCCGAGCACAAGCTGCTGCCCTTACACTTTGCGGTGGACCCTGGGAAGAGCTGGGAGTGGGGCCGGGATGACAGTGACAACGTCCGATTGGCCAGGTGAGGCCTCTGTGAGCACCTCTGCGCTGCCCAGACGCTCTCGGGCAGTGTTCTTGGGGCCAGGCCAGGGGGCCCGTCTTCAGGCAGGTGCGGAGGACAGGGCAGTCCCGGCGTTCGCAGTTGCTTTTTCTCCTGGTCTCTCTCACGTGGTTCTTTTCTTAGTGAACCTTGCACCTAGCTGGAATCTTGCATCCTAGAATCCCCAAAACAACCGTCAGGAAAGAATTTCCTGTTATTCAAGAGCGTCAGGTCACGCTGTCTCCCAGAACCAGTGGCATGGGAGTTTCAGATGGTTGGACAGGGGCAGCTTCCCCCCGCCCCCCGCCCCACCCCGGCCCGTCTGCCAGGCCCTGGATCCCATCCCTTGCGCCACAGAACTCACCTCGCTGGAATCGTTCTCTCTGGGTTTTCACCTTTCTGAAAGGTGAACGGGAGCCTCCCCACTCCCAGGCCTCCTCCCTGTGCTGCTGCAACCTCGCCCCGGGAAGAATCCGTGAGTCTCCGAGCCCCCCGCCCATTTGATTCGCAGCCAGGAGAGGCATTTGAGCGCTGCCAGTATAACCCTGCCTGGCCCCAGCCCCCAAGGAGAGCAAAAGCAGAGCTGAGAATTGGAACCAGGGAGGTGGTTCCGGGGAGTGGGGCACACTGTCGCGGTCTGCCTGGAACCATGTGCACGAGCCCAGTCTGCACCCCCAGTGCTCCAGGCGTGGCCATGGCGGCCCCAACGCTGCAGCGAGGGCTGGTCCTTGAGCCCTGATGTCAGGCCAGCACTTCCACTAGCTGAGCTGGAGTGACCTCAAGGCATCTGAGCATGCCCGAGGAAACCCCAGAAAATAAAAGTAAAGGGGCTAGCACTTGCCTTGCATGCAGCCAGCCAGGATTCGGTCCCAGAACCCAACAGGATTCCGCCTCGTCCCCTGCCAGCCCCACCAGGAGTAAGCCCTGAGCACTGCTGCGTATCATCCCCAAGAATAAAATAAAACACCAGAATTTTTCAATTTTTAAGTAGGTCCTCCGTTACCAAAAATTACTTCTTAAATATCTCCCAGAACAATAAAGGCTACACTTTATTATTTCAGTTTTCCTGACACTGTGCTGGGCCTTTTTATCCTTGTTGCCAGTCCCGCAGGGGGCCCAGTGACTTACTCTCTAGCTCAGTGATTAGAGAGTAGCTAAAGTTCATTTAATATTGATTTAAATTGGGCAGTGTCTTGGTGTCACACCCAGCAGTTCTTGAGGCTGTTCGTGGCTCGGTGCTTGGCTGCCTATTGTGTGCCAGGAATGGAGCCTGGGGTCACCCACTCAAGGAGAGAATCCCAGGGCTCACCCACCCCACAACAGAATTCCGGGGCTCACCTGTCCCAGGAGAGATCCCTGGAGCTCACCGGCACCAGGGCAGTGCTCAGGCCCTGTTGCCCTGCCCACACCACCTGTCAGGATCCAGACTTTGCCAAAGTCACAGTTCCTTTTTGACCGTTTCTTGTCTTCCCAGTGTTATTCTGTCCCTCGAGGTCAAATTGCATCTGCTGCATGGCTACATGAATGTGAAGTGGATTCCTGTGTCCTCGGATGCCCAGGTGAGGCCTTTTCCTCCACCTGGGACTGTGTCACATTGTGGGCGGTGGGGCAGGGGAGGGAGCTCCTCTGAAGGGGAGGAACTGGGGAGCCCCAGTGAATTTCAGCGGGCCTTCAGTCCTCCTCCACCTGGCACCCTCCTCCCTTCCTGCCACTTTCAGCTCCAGCACACTCCCGCGTATTCTTTTTTTTTTTTTTTTTTTTTTTTGCTTTTTGGGTCACACCCGACGATGCACAGGGGTTCCTCCTGGCTCTGCACTCAGGAATTACTCCTGGCGGTACTCGGGGAACCATCTGGGATGCTGGGAATCGAACCCGGGCTGGCTGCATGCAAGGCAAACGTCCTACCCGCTGTGCTATCGCTCCAAGCCCCAGCTCCTGCATATTCTTAGGAGATACTGAGTCTGTCATGATCGCCCCAAAGTTCTCCACCCCTGCGCACGCCTCCATGTTGGACTTCCGAAAGGAGCTTGCTGGGCTCCTGCTCCAACTCTGAGCGCTGTGAGAACTGAGTTTTGGCCTGACTGGGTGCCAGTGTGTAAGGGGACGGACACGCGGGAGAGCACAGAGGGATCACGTGTGGTTGTGGAGTCTTCTTCAGGGCTGACTGGCCAAGTTTGGACGAAGACTGTTCCCTGTGGGGCTGACCGGGCTGAGTAATTTTGGGGTTCGTTTCAAATAAAAAAAATACTCACGTTTTTAATTGAACACAGTAAGAGACACAGTTACAGAGTTATTCATGATTGGATTTTAGTTGTGTGGCGTTTCATCCCGGTCTCTTGACCATGTACACTTCCCACCACCAGTGTCCCCAGTTTCCCTCCCTCACCCCACCCCCACCTTTTTTTTCTTCCTCTTCCTCCTCTTCTTCTTGTCCCTCTTCTTCTCTTCCTCTTCCTCCTCCTCTCTCCCTTCTTCCTTCCTCCTCCAGCCCCCCTCTCCTCTCTCTCATTTCTTTTGGGCATTACGGTTCGCAATGCAGATACTGACTGAGGGGCCCTGGCTATCCCTTCCCCCACGTTCCACACTCAGTTCGTGTCCAGAGTGATCATTTCCAGCTATCGCGGTCATACTGCTGCCTTCTCTATCCTGACCGCCTTTCGTGACCGTTAGGATAGAAGGCTGTCCCCTGCGGGACTGCCGGGGCTGAGTTTGGATAAAGGCCGTCCCCTGCAGGTCACCCAGTACGTGCGGGACTCGGCTGCAGCCTTCCCAGGTGCCTGGTGTCATTCCAAACCACTCAGAGGCGTGCCCCGTGGCAGTGGGTCAGACAGAGCCCAAGAGTGGCTAGGGGAGGGGCAGGCCGGCACCCGTTCTTTGGAGTGAGGCTGCCCCCGCCCACCACTCGGGCCGTTCCCACACTCCTTCCCATGCTGACTCCCAGGGTAGTGGGTGCCCCGTGAGCCAGACGAATGGGAACGTCGAGCCAGCTGGGCCCGGGGCCGATGAACCTTGTCTTTGTCTCGCAGGCTCCCCTCGCGCAGCCCGAGTCCCCTACCGCTTCAGCCGGAGACGAGCCGCGCTCCACGCCAGAGTCTGGTGACTCCGACAAGGAGTCGGTGGGCAGCAGCTCTGCCGGTGCCGACGGCAGCAGGCGGAAGGAAAAGTCGAAGCGAGAACGGGAGAAGGAGAAGAAACGGGCCGACTCTGTGGCCAACAAACTGGGGAGCTTCGGCAAGACCCTGGGCAGTAAACTCAAGAAGAACATGGGCGGCCTCATGCCGGGCAAGGTAGCCAAGCCCGCGGGGCTGGGCGCGGGCGTGGGGCCCGGCGGTGGCACCGAGACCCTGGACAAGAAGAAGAAGAACGCCCTGAAGAGCTGGAAGGGCGCCAAGGAGGAGGCGGCTGGGGACGGGCCGCCGGCAGAGAAGCCCCCGGCCGACGCGGCCAGCAACGGCGGGAGTAAGTACAGCCAGGAGGTGACGCAGAGCCTGGGCCTGCTGCGGATGGCCATGCAGGGCGAGGGCAAGTTCATCTTCGTGGGCACCCTGCGCATGGGCCTCCGCCACCAGTACCAGGAGGAGATGATCCAGCGCTACCTGGCCGACGCCGAGGAGCGGTTCCTGGCCGAGCAGAGGCAGAAGGAGGCCGAGAGGAAGCTCGCCAACGGGAGCGTGGCGGGCGGCCCCCCGCCGGCCAAGAAGCCGGAGCCCGACGGCGGGGACGGGCTGCTGGCGGCGCCCTCGGCCGAGGCCAAGGCCGGGGCCTTCTCCGCCAGCTACCCGGGGGGCTACACCATCCCCCGGTCCTCTGGGGGCGGGGTCCACTGCCAGGAACCGCGGAGGCAGCTGGCAGGGGGCCCCTGTGGGGGTGGCCTCCCTCCCTACGCCACCTTCCCCAGACAGTGCCCCCCAGGCCGAGCCTGCCCCACGCACGACGCCTCTTCCTCGGAGCCGGCCAGTCACCCCAAGGATGGCACTCACCAGGGCGCCTTGTTGCCGCAGCCCTTCCGTGTGGCTGACTCCTACAGCAACGGCTACAGGGAGCCCCCCGAGCCTGACGGGTGGGCCGGGGGGGCCCAGGGGCTCCCGCCCACCCAGACCAAATGTAAGCAGCCCAACTGCAGCTTCTACGGACACCCCGAGACCAACAACTTCTGCTCCTGCTGTTACCGGGACGAGCTGCGGCGGCGGGAACAGGAGCCGGGCGGGGAGCTCCTGGTGCACCGGTTCTGACCCTCCCGCACTGGGCGGCAAGGGGCGCGTTGAGGAAAGTGACCGCATTGCGGGCTCGGCAGCGTCCAGTCCCGTGCGCCCAGGCGCAGCTGGGGCAGGCAGTCCCGAGCGGAAACTGGGTGTGTGTCGGATGGAGGGCTGCCAGCTGCAGGCCACGCCGCCCACCTGGAGACCTGGACTCAACAGGAATGAGGAGGCACTGGACTGTGCAAACGATAACTGTGTCTCACCAGTCCTGTGGGCTTCCCCAGCACCGGGGAAGGCAGCAGCGGGAGGTTTGGCGGGTGGGCTGGGGCGCCGGGCAAGAGTCCGGAGAAAGGTAGGCAGTAGGGGTTCCCGGCTAATAATGAGAGAGCAGAGTGCCTCCAGGTGGGGAAAAGTACAGGGGGGTAGAACCGGGGAGCGTAGGAGGGAACTGGAGGCGGGACACATTTGCTGTTGAAGGAAGAAGTCGGGCCAGCTGAATCCTCGAGGGCTGGGAGAGGCGGGCAGGAACTCACGGGCCCCTCGCCGGGAAGGGAAGAGGGCGAAGGGGGGTCCATCTCCCAAGACGCGACGCCTCCCACCTCTCGTCTGCTCGGCTGTGATGGGACCTCCCGGCCACACTCTGCGTCTCCTCATTCCTTCTGAAGACTGAGCTAACGGAATTAGGAAGGGTATTGTGACTGTGTTTTAGGACTCTGATTGTATTAAAAGAAGAAAGTTCGCTCCGGGTGAACTGGCACAGAGGGAGCCAGGAGTGTCTTGGCGAGGGGGGGGGAGGCAGATTTTCGGCCAGACTGTTTCAACCAAAACCAAAAACCAAACTCTTAGCACTGCTATCCTCTGCTGCTACATTTCCAGAGAAGCAAATTTTTGGACTCTTTTTTTTTTTCTTTTCTTTTTTTAAGAAAAAGAAACAGAACAACCCCAGCAAGCAAAAACATTTTAGAAAGTGATTTTTTATTTTTATCATATTTAAGTGATTCTTTCTCCCCTACTTTATGGAGAATGAATTTAACATCCCGGCTTCTTTTGTTAAGCCATAGTTAGCTGACCTTAATCTGTGGTTAGTTTATTAAAATAATAGAAAATACTTTGTAAGAAAAGATATTTTTGATAACAGTCTGACATTGAAACAGGAAAGGGATTAAGGGCAATTTATAAAAAGGTAGCTAGAGCAATATATTTTAGTGAGCTGTAACCACAGATCACAGATCAATCCCAGTGAGCTGATCTGTCTTTGGGGTCTCTGGGGGTGGCAGTGGGCCTGCATGTAGTCAGGGGAACCCCTTTGCATTTTGCACAAAGCACAAGTCTGGACAGCTTATGGCCTGGCCAGTGCCATTTCTTAGAGCTTTAAACCAGAGGACCTATATTTCTTCCACCCTGGGGAAAAAAATAACTATGCAATTGTCTAGACTCCTCGGCGTGTATGGAGAAGAGGAGCCGATGTTACTTCGGTGCCTGGAGTGGTAGCTGGGCCCTTTGTCTGGGTTTTCCTCCTATGAAGTCCAGCGTAGACTGGACCGGGTGTGGGAGAGACGCGTGTCTGTCGCTTCTGCCCGATGGGAGCTGTTAGCCCCGCTCGCTGCTCACTGCTCCCCCGGAACTCAGCCCCTGGCCACCACAGCCAGCTCACAGTCTAGGCAGATTCCTTTCTTCTCCAACTTGCAGCTTCTTCCTTCCCAATCCGATCATTGTTGATTCAGTCCGTTCCTACCGAGATGAGATCTCGGGTTCATGGAGCGGGGTCACGGGATGAGCGTTTGGGGGCAGGGGTGCCTGGTGGGAGAGAGGTGCTCTCCCTCGGGTGCAGAGCTTCTGGGAGCCCCCAAATCGCACCATCAACATAAGGACTGACTCAGTGCAGTCAATTCAAAGAATGAATCAGTAATGCACAGATTAGCAATCTTGAACGCTGGCTCCAGTAGACAAGGATTAGGGTGAGGGGAAAAGTGTGGACTTGAGCGAGTAATCAGGTGAAACCAAAACATGTTGAGATTTTTGTTCATTGTGAAAACGTGATGCTCATGGTTTTCAAAAGATAGTGCATTATAGTAGTGTCTGTTACTGAACCCTCGCCATCCCTTCGACCTTGAGCGTGCCCACAGTGAGTGCCTTGCTCACCTACTGCTGCTGAGACCAGCGCCCATCACCATCTGTTCCCAGGCCTGCACCCAGACCTCCAGAGCCAGCTCCAGGCCCACCTCCAACCTCCGTATTAGGGGGTTCCTGGCCTGGACTAGGAACAAGAGCACTCCAGAGTTAAAGCAGGATGGTGTTGACTCCCCACTGGACTGCAGTGTTTGAATCTCATCTGTTACAGATTCTAGCTGGTAGGTCTGTTTTTAAAAACTGAGGACAAATGAACAAACAAAAACTGTGTCACACTTGTTTTGTGTCCTGTTGCCTGTTGTTTTGTACATCAGCTAATCCCAATTCCTTTTGACCTCTTTTCAAATAAAAAGGTGGAAATTACCGTAGGGGTGGCGACTTAGGGGTGACACGAGTCAAATGGGGCTTGTCTCGGCCTCCGCTTTCTAAGAAACCGTTTTTAATTTGGAAAAGGTAATTATGGTTCATTGAAAAACTTTGTTCTAACCCGAAAGACCTTAAGTCAGTGGGGGTTTCTTTTGGATGTGCGGGGGTGGAGGGGACTTCGCCACGCCTGGCAGCGCCCAAGGGACCATCTGCAGTGTGGGTCAAACCAGTGTTGGCCAGCGCAAGGCGAACACTCGGCCCTGTGCTAGCTCGCTCGCTGCCATCTGGGTACTTTTGTCGAGTGAGGGTAGTTTGCCTCGCTCATTAAGGGGGGCTTGGGGTGGGGGGCCAAGGAGTGATTCCCGCTAAATGGAAACAGTTGGGTAGATTGGAAATATTGGGGTGATCGGGACGGAAGAGGCCGGCCGGTGTCATCGCCACGTTGGGGAGAAGGTGCCCATGGCTTGACCCCGAGGTGGGGGGGAATTCCTTCGTTTAAGGGATGGGGGAGGGGGAGGCTGGGCCCGCTGGCCCTTGAAAAGAATGACCGCCTCCCCGGTGTGGGCGCGCTCCGTGCCACCCTGTCACTGGGCACGTGGGTGGGGGGCGTCGGTGCTCCGAGCAGGCGCTGACTAACCCCTGAGTCACCCGGCAGCTTTGGCTCCGGCTCCAAGCGGAATTCTGAAAATGGAAAACTTGGATGCAGCCGCGGCCCCTCCGCCCTCCCTTTCTGCCAGGAGCCCGCCCGAAGCGCGCAGGGTGCAGGGTGCGGGGCTGAGAGGTGGTCCCCGCCCCCGCCCCCGCGCGCGCCTCCCTGTCCCACCCCGGTTGGACACTGCGCCAGGTCGCCCAACGACGTCTCCCCCTTCCTCTGATGACCCTTCTGGACTCGGACACCCCCTTGGTGCTCCGGCCCCGCCGAGCGCGCAGACTAGAACGAGGCTCCCGGGGAGGCAGCGGGCACTGCCACCCCGCCCGCCCGCGCGGCGTCCCCGCACCCAACACGGCAGCTCTCCGAGTGCTCCCTCGGTGCCTCATTTCCCGTCTTTGTCCCCGCAGTGCTCCCCTGCCACGCCGCCCCACCCTCCCTGCTACCCTGGCTGCGGCCGGCCGGGGAGGGGTCGGAGCATGAATCTTTCATCGGGGCTCGGGTGTCTGCGGGGTCCAGTTTCCAGGCGGTGGGCGGGAGGAGGGCGCGCTTCCCAGGGGCCCGGGATGGGGCATCTCTGTGCTTGGGCACTCAGGTTTCTTCCAGATTCTGGCTATTCTAGAGAGTGCTGCAGTGAACAAACATTGCTCTCGGCGGGAGTGAGCATAAACGTCTATCTTGCCGACCTTACCCCTGGTCTCCCAGGCGAGAAACTCCCCGAGATCCCGTTTCTCCTGTATCTGAGCCCCTTCTGGGGGATGCTGCAAGGCCTGGTTCCCCATCACTGGCACCTCCTTTAAGGAGAAATCTTGGAAAAACTGCACTTGGGGCCAGAGCGGTACAACATCGGGGAGCATCTGGCCAGAGTTCCATCCTCCGCATCATACAGGGTCCCCTGAAGCCCTTCGGGAAAGATTCCTGAGCACAACTGGGTGTGGCCCCCAAGCTAAAAACCAAAAAAAAAATCTTCCCACAGATCAGCCATCCAGAGAAGGAATTCACGGGGTTCCAATGTAATAGTCGGTGCCAACCGGCCCCGAAGAGGGTAGGATCGGGATAGGGTGTGAGAAGGAAGCTGGGTCTCCCCCTTCTGCTGGTCCTCGCCCATCCACGTCTTGCGTGTGTTCTCCTTTAAGGGGCCGGGCCTCCCTCCCCGAGGCTTGAGTCGCCCAAGTTTCCTGGAGCCTCTTCCTGCCCCAGCCGGGGAGGACACGCCTTCCTGAAGACCCCACTTGTGGCCCTCGAGAGCCCCCTGGTACTGCGTCCCCCTGCACCTCTCCTGGCATCTCTCTCTGGCTGCGAGAGTCCACCTGTGCCAGGGACTCGGGCATCCTCCAGGACGTGTCAGTGCCCCCCCCCCCCCCCCGCAGCTCTTTCCTCGGATGGAGCCAGAGAAATGTGGTGGGGGTGCCGGGCCCAGAGTTTCAACATTGCCCCCCAGAAGGAGGAGCCAGAGATGGGGGTAAGGAGAGACCTGGTGGTGGGGAGGGGGGTGCCCACGGAGCTGGGTCTGTCTGTCCCAGTCTCAAGTTCATCGTCTCATTATCCATTAACCAGCCCTTCCCGCCACTTCCTGCCGGCCTGTCCTGAGCTCCCTACCGCTCAGTCTCAGTAACCCCCACCCCACCCAGGAATCCCAGCGTGGTTCCAGGGTGCCCTGGGATTAACCATCTGCCCTTCTCAGCTCTCTGGACTAAAGTCTGTCCAGGGGCACGGGATGCCAGAGCCAGGGACTCATCTGCCGGGCACATGCGTGGTCTCTGGATGCCTCCCAGGTAATCAGGTCTTCCCACGGCTCTGCAGACCCCTTGCAACCTCGGCCTTCCCCACGGCCTGGCCGAGGCACAGGTTTCCTGCTCCTGCCAGACAGCTTGGCGCTTCCTCTCCTCTGCTCTGGGAGCTTGGATCTAGCTGCTCTCTGCTTTCTTGGCAGTGTCCCTTTTTGCCATGTCCCTGTCCTGTGACTGTGTGAATGCCTCCTATGAGCTAGGTACTGTTACAGGACCCGGCTGGGCTCTCCCCTCTGGGGGATGCTGGGCGGGCAGCACCGGCAGTCACGGTCCCCTTCCCTTCCTCCCCCCAGGGGAGCAGGTCCTGGCACGGGCCCCAGGACTGAGGAAGGGGCTAGAACCTGAACTGCCTGGAGTCCTGATCTGTACCAACTTCCGGGTCATCTTCCAGCCCTATGGATGGCAGCGGGGTCAGGTGAGAGGCCCAGAGTCCAGGGAAGAACAGCAGGTAGGGAAAGGCAGAGGGGGCCAGGCCTGGGAAGATCTGGAAGACTCAGTGAGCACTGCCGGTAGCAGGTTTGGGGCTACTGAAACAGGGAAGGCAGAAAGTGCAGATGTTCAGAAGTGTGGCTTCCTCTAGGACACCCCGCTGAGCAGTGAGTACGCCTTTTCGCTGGTCAACATCGGGCAGTTAGAGGCTGGTAAGTGTGGGCTGGCCTGGGCCCTGGAGGCTGTGGGGGCCTCCCCTTTCTCTGTTCTCAGACTCCCCAGGACAGGCTGGGCTGGGCAGGCAGACTTTCTCGTGCAGGGACCTGATGGGGCTTCCACTTCTCTCTGCCTCTTGGCTTCAGTGAGGGGCCCATCCCGAGTCCAGCTCCTCCATCCGGGGTCCCTGCTTAAATTCATACCCGAGGAGATTTTGATCCACGGCCGAGACTTCCGGCTGCTCAGAGTTGGTTTTGAGACTGGAGGGCTGGAGCCCCAGGCATTTCAGGTAAGAGTCCCCCTGCACCCAACCTCACCCCCACACCACTCAGGGAGACGTCCTCCCCTTACCTGGACCTCAGGACCAGGAACCCTTTACCTGACAGTTCTCCCTTCTCTCTACCCCTCCTCCCACCTTGCAGTCCCTCCAAGGAGTGGCCAAAAGGACACAAAAATTATTTATTATTGTAGCACTGTCATCCCGTTGTTCATCGATTTGTTCAAGCGGGTCCAATAACGTCTCCATTGTGAGACTTGTTGTTACTGTGTTTGGCATATCGAATACGCCATGGGGAGCTTGCTAGGCTCTGCTGTGCAGGCGCGATACTCTCGGTAGCTTGCCGGGCTCTCGGACAGGGGCGGAGGAATCAAACTCCAGTCGGCAAGGTTGGCCGCGTGCAAGGCGAACGCCCTTTATTATTATTAATATTTTATTTTATAATATCTTATAATATTCTATAATTTTATAATATAATCTATATTTTTATAATATTTTATAATATAAATATTATATAAAATATAATTTTATAATATTATATGATTTATTATTAATAATATTATTTTTGTCTTTTGGGTCATACCTGGTGATACTCGGGGATTCCTCCCGGCTCTTCCAGATCACTCTTGGCAGTGCTTGGGGACTGGTCAGATCTGGTCCTATGGGATCCTGGTGACCCCATGCAAGGCAAACACCCACCCTCCCTTCAGACCTCTAGCTCAGGCCCCAAGGTTGCAATAAATGGCAGCTTAATGGGAATAAGGATTCCACCCATTATGAGCACCAGCACAGAAGCGAGTCCCTTTCAAAAGCAAACGGAGAAATGAGAAGATTCCCAAGAAGCCTCCCAGAATGAAGGTCCTCTGGCCCCTGATGTGCCTCCTGGCCCCAGGCCTTCACGAAGCTCCCTGCATCGGTGTTCAGGGTTCTCAGTTGGTCTCAGCCAGCAAAGAGGGGAATGACAGGTGGCCTTTTCAGTTCAGTGAAACCAAAGCAAAAGACGTCCTTTCCCTCACAGGTGGCCGTGGCCATTGTCCGAGCCCAAGCTCAGAACAGTCAAGGCCGACAGTATCCGGGCCCGAGTCCCAGCCAGGCTGGTGAGCGAGGGCCTCTGCAGGGCTCAGGGTGGCAGCGGCTGTGAAGACAGAGGAGTAAGAGGCTGTCCCTGCCCCTCCTGCCTGCTCCAGGCCAGAGTTCCCAGAAGCCTGTGCCCCTCCTGGAGACAGCAGAAGACTGGGAGACGGAGCGGGAAAAATTGCGGGCCAGCAGCTGGAGGGTCAGCGCTGTCAACGAGAGGTTCGACGTTGCTACCAGGTGGTCACTCCTTGTGTCCTCTCAGATCCAGTCTCGGGCACGTCCACAGCTTCCCCCTTGCCCAAGACCCTCCGAATCCGACTCTCCTTGAACCGATCCCCTCCCCCAGCTCCCTCATCTCCCAGCTTTGCTCTTGAGCAGGACCCACTCTCTGTTCCACAGCCTCCCCCAATACTTCTGGGTTCCAAAAAGAATCCTGGACAGTGAAGTCAGGAGAGCATTTGGCCACTTCTGTGATGGCCGTGGACCGGTCAGTGTGAGGGTGGGAATCCCAGTGGGGAGCCAGAGGGTCACGGGAGGCCGGGGCCCGCCCCACGAGGACAGTGCGAGAGTGCTGCCCCACGCTGGCCCTTCTGCTGCTTTCCCTGGCAGCGCCTGTCCTGGCATCACCCTGGAGGCAGTGACCTTCTCCGCTGTGGTGGCTTCTGTTCAGCAAGTGACCCTAACAAGGATGATGTCAGGTGAGGGAGGTTTGGGAGTGAAACAAGAGTTTGCTGCTCACATAGGACTCGGGCCCTTACTTGGTGACCCTCCCCTCCAGAGCAGTGGAGGCCATGCTCCAGGCGGGGCACACAGATGTCGTCCTGGTGGACACAGTGGACGAGCTACCCAGTCTCGCAGATGTCCATCTTGCCCACTTGCAGCTGAGGTCCTTGTGTCTACCTGGTGAGAATGACCTTCAGTCCCTCACCCCCTCCCCACGTCTGCTCCGATTATGGCTCGTTTACCTTTTGCCTGCTCTAAAAGTCATCCTTTTGGACCCAGAGCCCTTAGTTTTCCTCAACTCACATTTTCCATAGACACACTTATTTCCTCTCTTCCTTACTGCAACAGACTTTCTTTTTTCTTTTTGGGTCACACCCAGCGATGCACAGGGGTTACTCCTGGCTCATGCACTCAGGAATCACCCCTGGCAGTGCTCGGGGGGCCATATGGGATGCTGGGAATCGAACCCAGGTCAGCCTCTTGCAAGGCAAATGCCTTACCCGCTGTGCTATGGCTTCAGCCCCCTCAACAGATTTTTTAAGTGTTTTTTTTTTTTTTTTTTTGCTTTTTGGGTCCACCGAGCAATGCTCAGGGATTACTCCTGGCGGTGCTGGGGGACCATATGGGATGCTGGGGATTGAACCTGGGTCGGCCACGTGCAAGGCAAACGCCCTACCCATTGTGCTATCGCTCCGGCCCCAAGACTTAAAGTTCTTACATAGTCTCCTGCCATAAAGTCACCCTTTACCCACTTTACATGCATGATTCAGAGTTTCATTACAGTTACAGTCTTATACAAACCTCACTCATTGGTTTTCGAAAATTCATGATCATGTATGTGGCCGTCCAATTCCTAGTCAACTAGCACCCGATCCGTTTTTTTCTTTTTGGGTCACACCTGCCGATGCACAGGGGTTACTCCTGGCTCATGCACTCAGGAATTACTCCTGGCGGTGCTCAGGGGACCCTATGGGATGCTGGGAATTGAACCTGGGCCGACCACGTGCAAGGCAAATGCCCTACCCACTGTGCTATCACTCCAGCCCCACCCAACGCATTCTTAACCCTTCAGAAGATAGACCCTGAACCCCAATTCTTTCTCCTGATCAGTTTGTGCGTCTGACCCCTCTGCTTGCTCCCAGAATCATCGGTAGCTGAGAAGAAATGGCTCTCAGCTCTGGAAGGAACACGATGGCTGGACCTGGTCAGGTACTCCCTCTTGATTCATCGTTGAACCCTCTCGGGCCTGTGACCTTGGACTCCTTGAAGACTTTTCTTGGGCTCTCCTTCATGGTTCCCAAGAATTGAGGGCTGCTCCTCAGGAAAGGGGGCGGGCCTCTCTCCACACTTCATCCTCTCCTTTCTGCCCAGCAATGATCACGCCTCACCACCCTTTCTAGGTCTTGTCTCCGGAAGGCCAGTGACATTTCCGTATTAGTGACAGTCAGGGTTCGCTCTGTGGTGCTTCAAGGTGAGTATCTGGGGTCCGCCCACTCCGTTCCTTGCCTTTGCCCTTGCACACCTGACTGGACTCCTTAGAGAACCCCAAACCTGTTCCCCATGAGTAGTGGTCCCCGCCTCACTCACTGAGAACGACCTGTGAGCTTTCTCTCGTCCTTTAGAACTACCTGCCCTTCCTCACTCAACTTGGGATCCCAAGTGACAGGATTATTTGTCCTCTGTTCCCCTCCTTCCACGCACAGGCTGGGCTGGGGCTTGAGGACAGGGGAGCTGGTTTGAGGCGATGTTGTCTCTGCACTGAACGGGGTATGTGCCCGGGCCAGGTGGAGCCCGAGCCGTGAATCACTCAAGGTCTTTGTTTTCTCTTCATTTCTCTCTGCCCTTCAACCTGACCCCCAACTTTTCTCCCTGCGCCTCTCACCTCTCGCCCTGTCCCCCTTTCTCCTTCGTTCCTGCCCTGGTTTCTTGGCCTGTCCTTTGTCCCTTCTCTTTATGGCCCAGAGCGCAGCGATCGAGATTTCAATGGGCTCCTCTCTTCACTGGTCCAGCTGCTCTTAGCCCCTGAAGCCAGGACTCTGCTTGGTTTCCAAACCCTAGTGCAGCGGGAGTGGGTGGTGGCTGGACATCCCTTCTTGACCCGACTTGGTGGAAATGCGGCCAGTGGAGAGGTGAGAACGTTTTGCTTTGGTTTTTGTTGTCGGCGGTGGCGTCTTGGCTATATTCCCCAAGAAGTAAAGGGGTTGAAAAACAAGTATGTAGATACCAGAGCAATAGGACAGTCAGTGGGGCACCTGCCTTGCGTGCTGCTAACCCAAGTTCAATCCCTGGCACCCCGTATGCTCCCCTAAACACTTGCCAGGCGTAATCCGAGTACACAGAACAGGGAGTAAGCCCTGAGCACTACCAGGTGTGTCCCCAAAACCAAAACCAATCAATCGATAAAAATACAGTCGAATTCACTCATATATCAATCAGTTTAGAAGGACCTGAGATTCGGCTGAGCTTGCACGGAGACCCCTGGAGGCAAGCCCCCCTTTCTGCCATCAACTCAGGGTTCCATGAGCGCCTCCTTGCTGTTCTCCTGTGGACCCCTCTCCATCTGGTCTTACCCCTCAGTCCCCACAGCCCCCGACCATTCTGTCTCTCTCAGGCCCCAGTGTTTCTCCTCTTCCTGGACTGCGTCTGGCAGCTCCTCCAGCAGTTTCCAGCTGAGTTTGAATTCTCTGAGTTCTTCCTTCTTGCTCTTCATGACAGTGTGAGGGTTCCTGACACTCTCACATTCTTAAGGGACACTCCCTGGGAGCGTGGAAAGCACAGTGGGCAGGTGAGTCACCTCCATGTTTTTGCAAGGGGTGGAGGGGGCATGTTGGGCCATCAGAGCTCTGGGACCACTCCCAGCTCATGTTTGAGGCTGGAACTCAACAGCACTGCAGCATCATAGGGTGCTGGGGCTCAACCCCAGGTCCCCTGCCCCCCCCTTTTTTTGCTTTTTGGGTCACACCCGGCAATGCACAGGGGTCATTCCTGGCTCTGCACTCAGGAATCACTCCTGGCGGTGCTCAGGGGACCATAGGGGATGCTGGGAATCGAACTCAGGTCAGCCGCGTACAAGGCAAACGCCCTACCCGCTGTGCTATTGCTCCAGCCCCTCCCCTGCCCTTTGAACCTCTCTCAGGTCTTGCATGTCCACTCTGGACTTGGCTTCTCACCCTGCTACCCCCTCCCCCAGGGTGCATTACTGAGAAGGGACATCTGCGGGGGGCTGAGGTGGGTGCTCATTCTCAGACCTTCACCCTACATCTCATTCCTGGAAAAAGACACCCTGGCCATCACTTCCCTCTAGACTTGGAGCGAGAGGTTGTATTTTTGTTTGACCATCCTTCTTCCTGCTCCCTCTGTCCAGTTCAACTCCTATACACCAGTCTACACCCCTGGGTACGCCCAGTTTCCAGCCGGGATCTCTGGTAACCCACAGCTGTCAGTCTGGGACTGGAGATTACGCTACAACGACAAACAGATTCTACAATTTCATAATCCTGGGTATAACCCACAACACCACCCAGACTCCTGGCTCCCCAGACAGCAGGTGAGGTACCCGACCTTCCTAAATTTTCTGTTTCACAGGGGCACTTCCCGTACAATAGAGAGAAAGGGACAGACAGAACCCGTGTGCCCAGGAAAAGCTACCCTACTCTGCCAGGCCTGTCCCTGATCATGATGACCCTGGAAGGGAGAAACCCTAGCATGTCAGAGGGCAACTTTTGGACTCCTTTTCTGTGCACGGTTTTTCTTATCTGCCATGGACATTTGACAAGGCTCCCGAAAACCCGTTTTAATCCATTCTGCGTCCCAGCTTGAAGCCCAGCGAAAGGAAACAGACTCTCAGGGGATGCCTGCAGAGCCTTGACGTGCTGCTGGCTGCTCCCTTTCCTTCCTGACCTGGGTTTGAGAAATGTCATTTGCTTCCCATTTTCTCCTTAGCCAAGCTTCATGGCTCCTGGAACCCCCAGTTCCGTGTGGCTCTTTTCTAGGGGGTCTCTGGCCCCCTTGAACCAGCTCTGCCCCTGGAGAAACAGTCCGTCCTTGCTCGCAGTCTCTTCGCGTTGGCTCCCTCGACCCGCAGTGTCCTCGGAAAGCCTGGCCGACCAGGAGTGGGGATTCCCCTCCCACTGGGGTGCTTGCCCTCTGCCAGAGGGGCTGCTGCTGCCTGGATGTCTGGGACCCCAGATTAGGCTCTGGAGACGCTGCTACCTGCGGGGAAGGCCGGAGGGCCAGGTGAGAAGGGGCAGCGCGGAAGGTGTGAGTGGGGGCAGTGGCATGGCCACAGGGCCAGATTTCAGGTGAAACAAGGTAAGGGCTGGAGGACTGGGAAGTGAAGGGACATTCCCGTCAGCATCAAGGTGGGTTTGGTGGGAGGGGCCAGGGGAGAGAGAGGCAGAGAGACAGAATAAGGGAGTGGGGGAGGGTGTGGGAAACGCTACTCTTAGCTTCTATCAAAACCTAGGGCAGGGGCTGGAGCAACAGCACAGCAGGGAGGGCGTTTGCCTTGCACGCGGCCAACCCGGGTTCGATTCCCAGCATCCCATATGGTCCCCTGAGCACCGCCAGGAGTAATTCCTGAGTGCATGAATCAGGAGTGACCCCTGTGCATTGCTGGGTGTGACCCCCCCCCCAAAAAAAACAAAAAACCTAGGGCAGAGCAGGAGGAGAAAAAGTGGGAGGCGGCAAAGGGAGTGGCTTGCAATAGCCGAGCTGGCGTCCCGTTACTCTGGTCCGCTTCTTCCCATCGCCCTTCCCCGTGCAGACTGGCCTCTTGGCATCCACCGTCTCTGTCCTCCGGGAGGAGCTCACCCGTCTTGAAGAGCTACTAAAGAAGTGGGCACCGAGAGTGACAGAGGAGCCCGACCCTGCCCTCTCCTGGCCCTGCTGAAAGCGTGGCCGATCCTGGGGCGGATCTTCGGGGCTCGGGGCTCCGTCGTCCTCGGTGCTCGTCCCTTCACGCTGTCTCTTTCGCTCGCTGAGGCGGAGGACATCCGAGTCTTCCCCGTGCTCGTCCCTTCACGCTGTCTCTCTCGCTCGCTGAGGCGAGGGCATCCGAGTCTTCCACGCCTGTCTGGCGCCTCCAGACGCGCTTCCTGGGATTCGGGTGCAGGAGCCAGGGCGGGGCGGGCAAGGGGCTGCTGGTGCCCGGAGCCGGTCCTGGGGTTCGCAGTCGGTGCCTCACACTTGACCGTGGCCTGGTGGATGCCCATGACCGAGCCCGTCGGCCCGGCCAGGCACTCGTCCCGCGAGCAGCTGGCCCTGGCTGGCTGCCAGGCACGACCCCTAAGCACAGAGCCGGGAACAAGCCCGGAGCATCACCAGGCGCGCCCCGCAACCCCGCACCGGTGCGAAGCAAGATTTTTCCTGGGGGGAGCATCCGTGTGCCACCCCGGGACCCCAGTATTTCGCCGTGGCCAAGAACGACCCCCGGACGAACAACACTGCTTGAGGGCTGCAAAGTGCTGGAAGTCACTCAGCACACACGGTTCTCTGAGGGTTACCACAGAATGACCAGAGAATGACCAGAATTACCACAGAATTACCACAAGACACATCTCGCCTTTTGGGGTAATTTCGCGGCTTCTGGACATCCTCTGAGATCAGAGACGCTCTTCGTTAGTCTTAAAAAAAAAAAAAAAAAACGGACGGCAGCTCCCAGCCGCGTCTCCTCCGCTGGGGGGGCTTAATCACCCTTCGGGCCTCCCCGCCCCCCGCCCCCTCAGCGGCTGAGGGAGCCTCTTCCAAGCTTGTTTGTGTGACGACGTTTCTACCGAAGACGCCGATTAAAGCACGTTATTTAAGCCCCGGCTGGCGCGTTTCTGGTCAGGAACCGGCCCCTCGGGGTGGGGACGGCGGGTGGGGGGCCCCGGAGGAAAGCGCCCCCCGCGCCGGGCGACGACGTCGCTCCGCCAATTCCCGGGCGGCCCGGGCGCGCTCTCCCTTCCGCTTCCGGTCTCCGCCGGCGGCCGGCGCGGGCGGCGCGAGGGAGGTTTCGGGAACCCTCGTCTTCCGCTCGGACCCGCTCCGGGCGCCTCCCGCCCCCGCCCGCGTCTGGGCTCCGAGTGCCCCACCCGCGTCGCCCCGCGGACCCCGAGCCCGCGCTCAAGATGGCGCCCAAGATGGCGGCGCGGCCGCTTCCGGCCCGGCCGCCTCTACCCCGCCCTCCGGCCCGCGCCCCGGAAGCGGAAGCCGCGCCCGGGGGCCAGCCAGAGGGCGGAGCGCCTGGCCCGGGCCGGCGGGAGCGCTCGAGCCATGGCGGCGGGACCCATCTCGGAGCGGAACCAGGGTGACCGGAGCGGGCCCCGGGTGGGCCCCGGGTGGGCCCCGCGGGAACGGGGGGCGGGGACGGGGCGACGCGCTGAGCCCGGCGCGGGCGGGCGGGCGGGCGGGCTCGGGGCTTCCCCCGGCGGCGGCGGCGGCGGCGCGTCCCCGGCCCCGCGCGTGACCCGCGCCCCGCGCCCCGCGCCCCCCAGATGCCACCGTGTACGTGGGGGGCCTGGACGAGAAGGTCAGCGAGCCGCTGCTCTGGGAGCTGTTCCTGCAGGCGGGCCCGGTGGTCAACACGCACATGCCCAAGGACCGCGTGACCGGGCAGCACCAGGGTGAGCGGGCGGGTGGGCGCGCCCGCGGGGGGCGGGGGCCGCGGGGGTGGGCCTCGGGGGTCACGTGCGCGCCCCCCCCCCCCGTGCCAGGCTACGGCTTCGTGGAGTTCCTGAGCGAGGAGGACGCCGACTACGCCATCAAGATCATGAACATGATCAAGCTCTACGGCAAGCCCATCCGCGTCAACAAGGCCTCGGCGCACAACAAGAACCTGGACGTGGGCGCCAACATCTTCATCGGCAACCTGGACCCCGAGATCGACGAGAAGCTGCTCTACGACACCTTCAGCGCCTTCGGGGTCATCCTGCAGACGCCCAAGATCATGCGCGACCCGGACACGGGCAACTCCAAGGGCTACGCCTTCATCAACTTCGCCTCCTTCGACGCCTCGGACGCGGCCATCGAGGCCATGAACGGCCAGTACCTCTGCAACCGCCCCATCACCGTGTCCTACGCCTTCAAGAAGGACTCCAAGGGCGAGCGGCACGGCTCGGCGGCCGAGCGCCTGCTGGCCGCCCAGAACCCGCTCTCCCAGGCCGACCGCCCGCACCAGCTCTTCGCCGACGCGCCCCCGCCGCCCTCGGCCCCCAACCCCGTGGTGTCCTCGCTGGGGTCCGGGCTCCCGCCGCCGGGTACGAACGAATGGCATGTTGCAGAGGGCCTGGGAGACGGGGCTGGCACAGGGGGGGCAGGGGTGTCAGAGTCGCCGGCGATGGCCAGGCTGGACCAGACTCTGCACCTGCTCCGCTTCCCTTGCAGGCATGCCGCCCCCTGGCTCCTTCCCACCCCCGGTGCCGCCTCCCGGAGCACTTCCACCTGGCATCCCCCCGGCCATGCCCCCGCCTCCGATGCCACCTGGGGCCGGAGGACACGGCCCCCCCCTCGGCTGGCACCCCCGGGGCCGGGCATCCCGGACACGGCCACTCGCATCCGCACCCGTTCCCCCCCGGGGGGATGCCGCATCCAGGTGGGTACTTGCCAGGAAAAGGGGGGTGGGCTGGGCTTGGTTGGTGGTGGTGGGGGGGTGTTCTTCCCACAGGGAAGCATGCCCTCCGCTGCTCTCGGCCGCCCGAACAACCACCTCCTGTGCCACCCGACCTTTGTTGCTGGCTGGGTTGGTTTCTGGCCAGGCAGCGCCCAGGTCCTTCTCACCGTGTGAGTGGTGTGTGGGACCGAACCCAGGCGTCTCCCCTGTCGAAGTACGTGTTCCGCCAGTTGAGGTTTCTCTCCGGCCCATTTTGTTGCTGCTGATGAGTTTTGCGGTTTGGGAGCACGGCCAGCGTGCCCGTGGGCCGGGCTCCGGGCTCAGGATCACTCCTGGTGGCCTTTCACGCAGTATATAGCGGCTGCTGCTAGCTCGATTGCTAGTACCCCACTTCTGAGCCTCGATGTCCTGTCATTTCTCACTTCATTTACAGTAGTGATTCCCGGGCTCTAAGGCTGGCTTTCTCCACTTTAGTCGCTTTCACAGAGTGATCAGAAAGCACCCCCTCCCCCCAACACACACACGCACACACACACACACATACCCTGTGTTGGGGTTTGAACCCAGTTCTTGTGCATTCAAGACATACGCCACAGCCTTTTCCTCACAGGACTTCTATAAAACACTGGACTGTACGGGGTATTTACTTTTGCTCTCTTTTCCACCTGAAAAATCCTCGTTCATCTTCCCAAATTCGATCCGCATGCAGGCCGATCGGCTGCTCCCCTGCTTGCTGTCAGCACGGCCGTCCCACCTGTCACTTGCCTTAGCAACGTGTCACAGTGCCCGTAGCAGGGACTGAGCACGTGACGTGACCCAAGAGTTGGTTGGGTGGTCGGTTGCTGGGACCTGCCGGGTCGCAGATAGGAGCGCGTAACCCTGTCTGTCTCCTGCGTGCCTTTTGTGACGTGACGTTTTTCTCTGTTCTCGCCCCTTTATGCTGCCTGTCTCTGCCCTTGTGATTTCCCTGGCTCTTTTCCCCACAGGAATGTCTCAGATGCAGCTGGCCCACCATGGCCCTCATGGCTTAGGACATCCGCACCCAGGGCCCCCTGGCTCCGGGGGACAGCCGCCGCCCCGCCCGCCGCCTGGAATGCCTCATCCTGGCCCTCCTCCCATGGGCATGCCCCCCCGGGGCCCCCCGTTCGGCTCTCCCATGGGTGCGTAGACTGACCACCGCCCTTGGCCTCGCGTGGTTCCGCCTTCCTTTGTCTCAGCCCTTATCTCTGCGCTTTTTTCTGCTTATTAATGTTTTCCTCCCTCCACCGTTCTGTCCACTCCCTCCATTCTCGGACATCGGCTACCTCCTGTTTGGCAGGGAAGCGGGTGGGTCCACACCCCACCGTGTTTGCGGATCACTCCTGACCGGGCTGGGCTTGGGGACTGGGCATCGAGCCAAGGCCAGCTTCACAGACCAGTGCCTGGCCTCTGTGCTGTCTCAGGCTCCACTCTCCGGTTCTTAAATTCACCGAGTCGTCCCCTGTCTCCGCAGGTCATCCAGGTCCCATGCCACCACATGGAATGCGTGGGCCTCCTCCGCTGATGCCGCCTCATGGATACACGGGCCCTCCGAGACCCCCGCCCTACGGCTACCAGCGGGGCCCTCTGCCGCCACCCAGACCCACTCCCCGTCCCCCTGTGCCCCCTCGTGGCCCGCTTCGAGGCCCTCTCCCTCAGTAATCTCTCGTTGTTCCTCCCAGTATCTTTCCAACCCTTTGGACCAATCAGAGCTGCTGGTGCCCCCTGGGGCTAAGGCACTAATCCCTCTGAGGTCATTCTTTTTGGGTTTTATTTTTATTTTTTTTAAGTGTAATCCTTACCTCCGTTCTTTTTTTTTTTCTATGTTGCTCCTAAGCATTTTAGCAAATGCGCAAAGAAAATAAAACTAGACTCTTTGTTTAATTCTTGTGGTATTTTCCTTGGCAGAATAACTTCGTTCTTTCCCCCTCGTCAGAGCTGTCGGTTACTGGAAAGAGAAGACATCCCTGTTGGGAAGGAGAAGGGGAAGTCAGGACGGCAGAGGCAGAGGAAAGGCGCGAGACAGGACGGAGAGAAACGGAACATTCCACCCTTGCTATTCTCTTCCCAGTCTAGTAGCCAGCATTCATTCAAACGCTTGTTCAATTTTCTGTTGCCGTCGCCGGTCTGCTGAGGATAGTTGTTGTTCTGTATGTTGTTTTTATTTGTTGTGAGCTGAAGGTTCACTGTCCGGGAATTGAAGACGCAGTTGGAGATAGGGACTGATAGGAAGTTTTCTTTGTCGTTCCTAATAACAGTGTACTGGAGACGTGTTTCTCGGGGCTGGAGACGTTGGTGACCCTACCTTAGAGGGAGGACTGAAAAATTCCTGAGGGATGTTGGGGTCTGTAGGCGAGAAGGTGTAGCACCGGAGCTGTGTGGGCTCACCTGCAGTGCAGCCCCCTGATAGGTGCTGGGGTCTACAGAATGGGACCCTGAGGTGCGTGGTTTGTTTTAGGGGTTTTTGTTTTCATTTTGGGGGGCCGCACTTGGCGATGCTCAGAGCTTGCTTCTGGCTCTACGCCTTCGGCGGTGGTTCAGGGACTATGTGGGTTGTCAGGGGTTGAACCTGGGTCAGCCACATTCAAGGCAAGAGCACTACCCGGCTGTACTGTTTTCTGGCCCCAGAGACTGAATCTGATGGGACTTGATGAGACTGGTAGAGTGAGGGCTGTGGAAGAAGTTTCTTAAAGCATACGGATGTTTGTGGGGCGTAGGCACTCCAGTGATGCGATGTGGCTGTGCCAGCAGGAACTAGGGCTGGGGCTGCCAGGCTGCCCCCGGTGGAGGCTGGGGGTCCTGCAATTCAGGGCCAGTCCTGAGTGTACCATGTTTATTTTATTTTTTTTGGGGGGGGGGGTGTCGTCACACCCGGCGATGGACAGGAATTTGGCTTTGCATTAGGAATTATCCTGGCGGTGCTCAGGGGACCATATAGGATGCTGGGAATCAAACCTGGGTTGGCCGTGTGCAAGGAAAGTGCCCTGCCCACTCAACTACTGCTCCGCCCCCATGTTTATGTTTTTTTGATTTGGGGCCACAGTGTCGTTGGTGTGGGGGATACTTAGCAAGGGTGCTCCGTGTTCGTTCCAGTAGCGCTTCCACGGGATACCTGGGATCATATTCTGGGCTCCTGGACTTGGAGCAATATTAGTACAGCAGGTAAGACACTTGTTTGATTCCCAGCCCACAGATGACCCCTGAGCCCTGCCGTGAGCGAGCCCTGAGTGCAGAGGCAGGAGTAAGCCCTGAGCACCTCTGGGTATGGCCCAACAAAGTGTGCTGAGACCCCCTGAACCTTCTCTACCAGAGCAGTCTCTGCTAATGTGATTTTCCTTGGAACCATATACGGGTCTTAAATAATTACACAAACATTTAAACAGTAGGAGCCCTAAGCCTCCACTTCTTATTTATTTCCAGGTTGTTTTTTTTTTGTCCTCCAAATCTGATTTCCATCACATTAAAATCTCTTCTAAAATTGAGTAAATGAAACCAAAGGACCTCATGCCTTCTTTTAACCCTGTTATCTCAGGATTTTGTTTTTTTGGGGCTATAGCTGGTGATGTTCCAGGAACCTATACCTGCTCAGACCCAGGGTTGCCCGGGCTGTGGTGGGTTGAACCAGGGCCTTTGTACACAGCATGAGCCCGCTGTTGGGCTCTTTCCTTCCTCTCACCCTGTTCTTTTTTATGTATTTATTTTTGCTTTTTTGGGTCACATCCGGCGATGCACAGAAGTTACTCCTGGTTCATGCACTCAGGAATCACTCCTGGCGGTGCTCGGGGGACCATATGGGATGCTGGGAATCGAACTTGAGTCGGCTGTGTAAAAGGCAAATGCCCCTACCCGCTGTGCTATTGCTCCACCCCCTCCCCCTGTTCTTGAAAACATCTTTTGACTTCCGAATTTCCCTAAACTCCAGGAGGAAAAGTAAACAAGACCCTGGCTTTGTGCTTCATAGTGACCCCTGATAGTGCTCAGGGCTTACTTCTGTCTCTGCACTCAGGAATCCTCCTGACGGTGCTAGAAGAACCATATAGGATGCTGTTGGCTGTGTGCAAGGGACTCACTGTACCATCTCTTAGCTTCCAGATATTTGATATTTTTGAATGTTGTGAATAAATTTCTAAGGAAATACTTCTCTCTCTCTCTCTCTCTCTCTCTCTCTCTCTCTCTCTCTCTCTCTCTCTCTCTCTCCTCTTTCTCTCTCTTTCCTGAGGCAGGGAGATACTCCTTTCTCTTCAGGGAGATTGGCTGTATAGACCTGATTTGCTTTTGGAAGGTCACTCTTGACTTCTGGGGAAAATGAAGCCTAGGGGAATGAACTGAAATCAGGAAAACCAGTTAAAGTAGCTGTTGAAGTGGTCCAGAAAAGAGATGGTGCCAGTCTTGGTCTAGAGAGACAGTGACAGAAGGAGTCAGAAGAGATGATCTTTCAGAGGCCAGATCAGAATGGCAGAGCAGAGGAGAGGAGGGAAGGAAGCATCGATCACTGCCGGGTTTCTGGCCTGCAGACCTTGGCTGAAGATCTAAGGAATTCCTAGATCAGGATTTTACTTCTGGATCTGTTCAGTTTGAGAAGCTTGGAATAGCACAGCAGGTACTTGCCTTACATGAAGCCAGCCTGGGTTTGGTCCTCGGCATCCGATGTGGTCCCCGAACTCTTCGAGAAGTGATTCCTGAGTGCAGAAATATTGGAGACATTCACGAGGTGATGCCAAATTGATATATGGAAAATTTGAGTTTGATCTTAGAGTAGAGATAAACATCTTGGAATTACTGGCAAGCATTCAAGTTATGCAACTCTATTACAGATGACTTTGTAGGTCATAATGTCTAAATAAATATTAAATTTGAAAAATAAGGTCATTGTGAGTTCACAAAGCAGCGTGTGGGGCTGCTGCGATGAGTGTGCATTCCGTGGCCGAGAGCTGCCTCCCACCCTCCCCAGGCCTCCCCAGCAGAGACAGAGATGGGGTCCGCAGCCTGATAGTGCAGATGACCGCTTAATGCAGAGCTGCTAGCATACTCACTTGTAGAACATCAGAAGGGTCAGAGGTGTAGGACTGCATGTCCGTGTGACTTAAGAGGGAAAACATTCCATCAGAGGCATTGTCAAACAATTCTGCTTCTTACCAATCTTGCAGTCATCTGGATAAACACAGTAAGAGATAAAGATCCCAAAACTTAGTTCTCTGGGCTCTGAGAGCAAGCGAGACCTATACAACAAGTCCCAGACTAAGTCCTCAGGTGAGTTCAGCTTGTCCATCCCCGCGGGGGTCCTGTCTCTTAAGTCATAACAGCTTGCATCAAGATCATGCATTCGTGCTTTCTAGAATGTCCCATTTTGATGCCGGGGTAGCTTTGCCACTCGCCCCGGGTCCATCCCAGTCCCACGGTGGGACCTCCCTTTTGGGGTGTTAGGAACTACAGCAACCGAAACCTGAGTAAAATAATTATGACCAAGTAATTATGCCCAGGAGTATATAGATTTCAGTCAATCAACTCCCAGATATTAGGAGCATAGTATTAAGGTCTTTCTGTGTTGAAGCAATGAACATTGCTCTGTAGTAAAATACGAAAAGGCTATAGGGGATATAAAAAAAGCAAATAATTCGCTACAAATACGAAACCCAAAATTACCAGGAAGTTTTGACTTATAAGTAACCAAGGTTGACTTGGGGAACTGTGACAATGAGGTGTAAAACACAAAGGAAAGGTTCAAGATAAACTCAGGGGATTAGGGATGCTCACAGGATGCTCACTGATGAAGCCTAAAGCACTTAGGGTTGATACCCAACACATATGACTGCCTGGGGTGACCAAAAAGGAGGGTAAGTGGAGAAAGGAGCCAGGACTGAGCTCCTGGGAACCCCAGTGTTAATGGTCCAGCAAGGGTCTGGGAAGGAGTGGTTAGTGGGGTGCGTTGGACCCTGGCACTCTACGAGAAACGAAATCTTTCCTCAGAAATTAAAAAAGAACATGTCAGCTTTCTTTTTAAGAGTACAAGATTTCTATTTTAGCAAGTCCAGAATAACTGTCCAAAGTCACAGAGGAGAACTGGCTCCCTGCCAGCAGGCCTTGGCTAACTCCTAATTGAGGACATGATTTAAATACTGTCGATCTCAAGAGGGGCCATCAGGCTGAAGACAGAATAGTGGGCAGGGCACTCGCTTTGCCTGTGGCTGTCCTGGGTTTGATCCCTGTCCTCGCATATGATCCCCGAAGCCCCACTAGGAGTGATCCCTGAGTGCAGAGCCATCAGTAAGCCCTGAATACTGCCAGGTGTGACCCCTCCCCATCAAAAAACAAAAAACGGGGGTTATCAATAAAATACAGAGTCCCTGAGGCCCGCATGAGCATAGCTGTTCCAAGTACCATCCAAGAAAAAGTGCTCTAGCCAAACAGAGCTTGGCAAGACTTTCCAGAGTCTAGAGATGGGGAAGAGATTGTAGCCAAGAAGAGTTTTCTGAACCCATTGGCACAGCTCCTCCTTGGAAACAGCGAAATGCCATTAAAGATACAAATCGTCCCGTTCATTCATGCCATTGTGCATTTAGATGTTCACATTCAATTCCAACCGGGCATGAGAGATTCCTGTGCTGGCCGTGCAGGCATGAATTTTCATGTAGTAGGGGTTCAATTCTTTGTGCCAGGGGGACACTTGGAGGTGCTGAGTCCGGGTGTGCTTCCAGCCATGTCTAGGCAAGTGTTTTAGCCTTTTTACTCCAAGTTAAATTTCTTATGATAAATTAACATACTATGTGTGATGACTTCTATAT